GCGCTCCTTGAGAGCTTGCACGTTCTTTGCAGGCGCAACCGCAGGGAATCTGGGCTCAGCGGATGAGGCGCGCGGAGTGAGGTCGTTGTCGGTGTTTGTGTTTGGCTGCTTTGCGTTGTCGAGAGGGATGGTGAGTTTGCTCATTACAGATCGGGCGTAGATGGAGTGGGAGCTGAGGCGGCGGTTGGTAGTCGAGGTGTTTGAGGAAGCTGAGGATCGACGGCGATGCGGTTGTATGCGATTTACAAGCTCGGTCACCATCGGCGTCGGGACTGCTTCCATGTTCGGCGTCATGCCAAGATGTCGAAATACTTATGTCAAGCTAGCCTGGCCGCTGCGCTAAGATAGCACCCAGGGCGCTGGAGGCGAGTCGCGGCTGCCGGTGCAAGACTGAGTTGTGTTGAGGAGATGTTTCAAAAAAGTTGTGTGGAAGAAGGGTCTCTGTTGGAATGTCGGGTGGATTTGCAGAAGCAGGCTGATCGGGCCGTTGACCTTATCAAGGGCTGGCTCGATATGACTGTTCGGAGTCGGCCTTTGGTTGAGAGAACCACGGGTACGCCGCTGGAACTAGACCGTTGGCGGAGGACGAGTTTTCAGGAACGCGCGCAAACGCGTTGAGAAATGCATAATCGGCAGTTTATATCTCGCAGCCTGGTCGGTGAAACTGCGATGCAATAAGGCGCGACTTGTCTGCATCCCTCGCCATGTTACAGGCCGCTTGGCAGGTGCAGGTGTTCATTGCTCGAAGCGGACAAACCCCACAGTCCGACTCCGATAACCAATCAATCCACCACGCCTCCCAATGCAGCTCGCGACGATAAAGAGAGCACACCTTTACTGTGATTTGTACCCAGGTACAAATCGAGCTGAGAACCAAAGTAGCCCTGGACCAAGCCATGGTTCCATTGTCGTGTGATGCTCCATTACTTTCAAGGTGTCTCGCACTCGTCCGATGTCGACCAGTTCGTGGGTGGACCCAATAACGTCAGCGTGCAGCCACCAACTCCACTGTTGTACTGTATAGGCCAAAGTCCTTGGCACGCATATACAGTACACACGCGACATGTATTTCCCCAGATTCTGAGAGGCCTCCCAGACGCGCCTTCCGTATCGTGGGGATCCTGAACCACCTGCAACATGCTTGGAGCGATACCGCGCTAGCCTTGTCACCCGTGATAAAATTGTGTGTCGAAAAGCAAAAGGCGGCAGTCACGGACTAGGAGCAGAGTCGGGAAGTGACTATGTCGTAAGCTTCAGCGTCAGGACCAGCAGGCAGATGTACGCTGAGACGCTCAAGGCCGTCAACACAGACACCACATTGCCGGATGTTCGGAACTTCTTCCTGTGCAGGCCATCCTCACCGACTTCTGAGAAGAACTGTTTGTTTCCTATTCGCTGTCAGCACCCGCATTCTCGTCGTCATACATCCGCATGATCGTTCCCAACTGACCTTGTTGTCGCCGGAACAAACTGATGAACAAGATGCCAGCACCGTAGACAGCGAACAGCGCACCGATCGAGTAGAACTCGGCGGTGAAGATCTTTAGCACGACAAGCGCAAAAGAAAACTGGCCGATTGCTGTACGGACGTAGGCGCCTTCGAATGTTCGCTGTGCTGCGCGGATTTCAACCAGCTCTGGACCAGTCAAGATGACTGAGCGTGCGCGATGTAGATGGAGACGATATCTGTCTGCTGCGTGACGACCCTGGACGTTGTGAGCGGTGGACACTTCTGGGCGAAACATGCAAAGGTCCTACCTCGAACATGGTGACTGTTGTAGGTTCACCAAGATGAAGAAGGATGACAGTGAATGGTGATGTTGCTATCCCGGTACTACCTCGGGACACAACTGGGTACGCGATGGATAGCTAGAGGAGACGGGTGACGTAGTGGGGTAGGGAGTATCCCGAGGTTCAAACGACAACGCGTCGACTAACCCGCCAGTACGTGTTTTCACTTCCACGACGTGTATACTCAATTCGCACGATAATTGAAAGTCTGACTCCGTGAGGATGTCTCGTTCTCGCGAATTGTCAAACGCGGTTAGTCCTACACAAACGCGTTAGCGCGCCTTCCCAAGATGAAGCTCGACTGACGTTGCTGCAGGGTCCAAGCACCTCCGAAGTTGTTCCTCCGTAGCCGTCCCCGCAACCACAAACAATGTTGCGAAAAGTTCAATCCGATATATAATCTTGCGAAGACACCGAATCCAAGTAGAATCGCCATCCCCTTTCAACGAGAAAGCGCTGCATGCGACTTGGCGCCTGGCGAAACTTCACGCAGCGCGTCATATTTCCTTCTGTTAGGACCAGCGTACGGTATGTTCTTATTGCGAGTGCTCGACAACGCGACTTGTCATCACTTTGTAACTTTGGTCTCTAATTGACACGAGTAGGCACTCGAACGACCGCCGAACCCGCTTTACAAGCCCATTGTCTCGATCGCACGTAACGTTTGTACGCCCATTTCCGCCCTGGGACGACTACCCCGACACTCGTGTCAACGAAGAGGGAAGAATGGGAAAGTGGAACTACTACGGAGTGAAGGTCGGGCGCAAACCGGGCATCTATACGGATTGGCCGAACACAGAGGCGCAAGTCAAAGGCTACAGTGGTGGACTACAACAGGGCTTCAAGACCCGAGCGGAGGCTGAGGACTATGTCTACGGCCCCAATGGACGTTCTAGTGCACCCATAAGCCTACGAGGAGATCTTTCTGCATCTGGTTCCCCGTCAGCGACCGGCAATCTGGACAGGAGTAGAGAGATATCAGAGAGTGCGCCAAAGCGACAAAAGAAGGAGAACGCACCACCGGCATTGATTCCAGATCACCAAGAAGCTAAAATCGAGCCCGGGTACGGTCCCCTCCCGCCAGACGCAGTAGACGGTTTCGACCCGAATATCAAGCTCGACGAGCTAACAGGCAGGATCAGAGAGAAGACGCAGGAGGAACTTGGCAAAAGGAAGAGACAGCCGACCGGAGACTCCAAAAGCCCCGTTGTGGTATACACGGACGGCGGTTCGCGGGGCAATGGCAATGCTGGCGCCAAAGCCGGTTGTGGTGTCTACTTCGGCCCACAAGATCCCAGGTTCGTGTGGTGCCCAGCATGTTCTGTACGAGAGACAGCCCACTAACATCAATGCAGGAACGTTAAGGAACCTCTAAGGGGTGATCTCCAGACCAACAACCGAGCCGAATTAGTCGCAATATCCCGCGCCATCGACCACGTTCCCATCGACCGCGACATGGAAATCATCAGCGACTCCCGATATTCTCGGGACTGCCTCACACAATGGGTCCCAGGTTGGGAGAAAAAGGGCTGGAAGAATTCTCATGGCAAAGATGTCATGAACAAGGAAATCATACAACCCATCCTGGCGAGGATACGAGAACGAGAAAAGGCTGGCGCCAAGACCAAGATCACCTGGGTCAAGGCCCACGACGTCAATCCAGGCAACATCGCAGCCGATAATTTCGCAAACCAAGCTATGGACAATTGGACTGTCGATCTTGCGTCCGGGAACACATTTGACATGTCAGAAACCTTGCGGACGAAGTACAGAAATCCCAACGATCCACCATCGCCGAAGCAAGAGTATGATGTGGAGGAAATGGAGGGGTATTTGCGCCAGCTTGCAGATGAGGACCTGAATGGACTCAGTGATTATCCTTCAGCTGAAGCCGTTAATCAGCCTTCGATTGACGTCGATCAAGCTGCTGCTGCTTCGGCACAGGACGTCGACGACGTGTTTGCTGACCATCCAGCGTTCGCATCGAGGACCAATGGAGAGGAGAAGGAGACGGAACGGGAAGTGGCATACTAGATACCCGCCAGCTGCCGAATAGACGGTATGCGGTTGGATTGGAACTAAATCGGCCAACCATGGTACGTGTACGAGAAATGAATTTGACAACAATACTGCTTCAACACCCTCCAAACCACTGCTACTTCCTACCACTTCCACATATACAATCTTCATATGGCCTTACCTCACACAATCTACCAACTCCCCACCACCACCAACACACCAGACCACGACGCAATGTCCCACAAATCCAAACCCAACCCCATCGTTCCAACACCGCCCTCACGCCTTTCCACACTTAGATCACACATCTCCACCTTCCTCTCCGAAGCAGCATACTACTTCTCCTGGTACATCGTCATCGCCATCGTATTAAAAATGCTCCTCGTTAGCATCGCAGAGGTTATCTACCGCCTTCGCTATTGCGCACCACAAGGCTTCCTTTGGAGAGCATGTGGGGTGCCTCTTCTAGGTTTATTTTTCGAATGGATCTTGAAATATGTTTGTGCCACGGTATTCTGGTGGATGCTGGAGATTGCTTGGGAGGAGTGGTGATGAGTGGTGGTAGGCTTGAGGGGCTGGGTTTGAAGGTTTGGGGTTCGCATGTTAATGCGGTATGCTATTGGTATGGGTCCTTTGGAGGAAACCTCGATGTGGGTAGTTTGAGTGGGTCGGTGTACGCGGGTCCGGAGATAGGTAAGAGGACGCCTTTCATGTTCAGACGTTCGTGTACTACCGCGATGGCACGATTGCGGATGTACGGGCTAAGCACTCCAAGCATCGCACGCCAAGTTCGGGAGACGGCACTGACGTGCGAATAGGAACAGGTGTACACACCGGATCCCATTCCGATTCATTCGCCACAGGCTAGTCATGTGTGTCTGCACTCGGAAGAAACGGCTGCTAACCCAAATCAGGCCACCCACCATCATCATCATTGTCTATAATAATGACCTATCTTCGCCCCGCTCCATCCACCTCTCAACTTGAGTCTCACGTTCAAACGCACCATCAATCACCTCAGTCTTTGTCATCCCTTCCATTATTTAATGAGGTATTCAGTCATCGTGTACGTCTTTTGTATCGTGGGACTCACTCCCAGTAAAACAATATACGACCACCTATATCTCCTCTTCACCGGCTACGCTTTCCACATCTACTCCGCCCACACAGCAGAACACCGCCGTTTAAGCATGCCCGACAACTTGGACCAATCGCAAGCCCATCTATCCCAATCCGATTCCCAGACCAACTTGGGCAACAGCAGCATGTCCACCACCACCGACATCAAACAACACCGCCGCTACTCGCGTTGGTGCCGCGTGCTCCTTGTCACGCAAGTCGTGCTGCAGACTGTGTATCTCGCTTCGAACTACTGGACAAACGGGCATCTGACTGTTTTGCAAATGACGACGGCAGGGTTGTATGTGCTGGGGGCGGCGCTTATGGAGGTTGATTTGAGGAGGAAGGAGAGGGAGTTTTGGGATATGGTGGAGAATGGGGGGAGGAAGGATGTCGAGAAGGGGAGGCTGGCTTGGGAGGAGGAGGAGGGGGAGGGGGAGAAGGGTGGGAAGGGTGAGAAGGAGGAGGCGAGGGCTGATGAGAAGACGGGGTTTTTGGGCGAGGGAGCGGAAGGGGGAGAGGAGAGATACAAGGGTGAGGATGGTGGTGAAGAGAAGGTGGAAGTAAGGGTTGAAGAGATGAAGGAGGGCTCTGAGATGTGAGTTGCGACTATGGACCTCTTCTAACGAGGGGTACTAGACGCCTTCGTCGTACAACCTAACATCGCCTAGTTTGAAGTTTCCTTATTATCATGTTGGCCTACTTCTCTTCTTCATCGGTTGGATGGTCCACTAGAAGCTAGTGGCACTTTTTCTATAACCGAATCAATTGTTTGCGCATCAAAGCATCTTATACTATGGCGACAAGGCGCGTGGGTGCAAGCAAATTTCATGTACGAACTGTTGTGGGACATTTGATGACTTCGTACATCCATCTTTAGGCACGCTGATTGCGCAATTTACTTAAGGTTTAGCAAACATGTCTACTCAAATAAAAGAAAGGGCTTACAAGCTCGGCGCTATGACAATCACTAATCTAGAAGGCATAACACTTGACCTCGTCCCAAAACCTTCACACTCTCAACCTTTACACACATTCCGCAACGCCATCTCACAACACCCGCTACTTCCAAGTCCGCGATGTGCCATGCATTTAAAAACCTCCTCTCAACGATCTTCTGGTATTCCATTCTCGCGATAGCAGTCATAGCCTTGATCCACGCCTCTTTGGCCGTCATCGCTCTCTGCGGATATGCATGCACAGTCAAAGGCGGCGTGTGCATAATTCTTTTCCTCATCTTCATGGTTGCCTGCACGATTTTCGGTGTAGCATTCTTCTTGTTCCTGTGCGGTATAGACGTGTTCGGTATCGATGAGGCTATGCCGTGGGAGGATTGAGTTGTCCCAAGGATGGCAGGAGGTGGACCTTGGTACCGAAACCACGTGGAAGTCGACTGCGCCCTGCGCGAAAATGAGAAAGATTTCAATTCCATGGTTAGAATTACGAAAAACTTTGGTTGCACACTGCGGTTTCTAGGCTTCTCCTTGAGTATGTTCTTTATAGCTTGCTTCAACTGCTAAGGAAGCATCTTCTCTTCTCATCATACATCCGCACCCTTCACATCGGCTTCCCAGACAAAACTCATTTCAAGATGATGTCCCCAGTAGCAAAGTTCGTGCTCCTTTCCACGCTGGCAGGTGGCATCGTCGCGACTTCCTCTCCAACGGCGACTCCTCTCGGCACTGGTGTACTTGCGTCCGACTCAACATCCATTCCAACAATTTCCACATCTTCTTCCACCTACAAGATACCATTCAAAACTGGTCACGGCCCGGTCGTAATCTCAACGTCGGTCCCGGCATTAACATTGCATGACCCCAAGCTCAGCACACCAACGGTTATATCTTCACCAACAAATGAACCAGCGTCATAGTGCGTGAACCCCTTATCGTGCTAAAACCTCCCCTAAATTCATCGCTAACAGTCACAGTCACAGCATCTGGTCCGACAACGAGCACCAACCCGAACGCAAATTCCCCCACCACATTCCCGGCGAAATCAGTTCAAGGGAAGGTAAAATTGAAGGCATCACCATCGACACCATGTACGACACCGACTGTCATGGAGACGATGGTGATGCCCACGTCTACTTCACCATCACATACACCAACGGCACGCTCGCATACGACCCGCGCGGCCGACCCGGCCTCTTCTCCTTCTCCACCCCCTGGTACCTCTCCTACCCAAAAACGCTGCGAAAAGCCATCTTCAACGACCCAACCGCGTATCGTTCCAAACAGAAGTCCGAGGACTGCAAGCACGGCCACTGCCTCAGTGAGGTTCTGCCGGGGTTACTGTATAACAACGAGGCCGTCAAGTTGAAGCGCGTCAAGAATCCGAAGACGCTGAGACCGTTCACTTCTGATCGGGACTACTTTGCGTTGGGCGAGTGTCACTATGACGATAGTCTACTCGATATCTGGAGGATGGGTGTGTATCTTGGTAGGATTGGATACTATATCCACGGCGCCAACATCCCACCTGCTGTCATTGACTACGTGGAGGACAGAGTACGAACGACGTATCCGACGCTGGAAATCTGCCTGATCGTGTGGGGGACGCTTGGTGCTATTCCGACTCTCATATTCGTCATCGTTCTCTTGGTCTGGTTAGTGAAGATAGCAATTTGGCTAGAATATGATGGGCCAAAAAGGATGTGGGCTTCTGCTCAACGTAGCCGTGAGGCTATGTGGGAAGCGATCACCATGGCGCCGGGTAAAGGATGGAATGCGGTGAAGGGACGTTGGAAGAGGGGATTCAGGCGCCAGAAGAGTGTAGTTGCGCCACCGAACACGGTGCAGTCGACGGCGGATGAGCAGCTGCCGACTTACGAACTTCCCGAGTGGACACCTTCGGAACTTCCAAGGCCGCCGAGTTATCGTACGTATGATGGTGCTTGTGATGGTTTTAATGCTGTTTGAGCGGGCTGAGGGATATAGAGGAGGATAGAGATACAATCGACAGGCTGGGGATAAATATATCGAACAGCATAATGCCACATATGAATGAGATCTCCTTTCTTCCTTAGCCATTCCACACGAGCCTCACCATCGCTCCACACACGCCCATCACCCCACCACCACCCCAACAACCCTAACCTTAATCCCCTCACTCCCCAAATCCGGCATCCCCAAAAAGCAATCATTCGTCGTCAAAACATCCCTCCCCTCCACCGTATCAAACACCTCCATCCTGTACCTCCGCCAAATCATCGCAAGCCCCGTATACAATTCCGACGTAGCAAGATTCATGCCTAGGCAATTGCGACTTCCACGCCCGAAAGCAAAAAGATAGCGTGTGAGTTTGGGGTTTTGTATCCACCGCTCCGGGCGGAAGGCGAAGGGGTCGGGGTAGATGGCAGGGTCGGTGTGGAGGAGGTAGGAGGATTGCATGATGGGGGTGCCGCGGGGGAGGGTGTAGGGGCCGTATTGGAGGGATTCGCCAGTGGGGATGCGGGGTTGGCGGGAGGAGACGCCGTGGGCGGTGCGGAGGCCTTCGTTTATTACTGCGGTCTGTCAAGTTGTCAGAATTGTCCGGCTTCTTACCCATAGTGAGCTGCTTACTAGGTATGGCAGAGCTTCTAACTGGGGTAGCGAGACCTCATGATCTGCCGTAGGCATCACGGTCTTTAGTTCCTGCCTCAGTTTCTCACCCACGTCTGAGTTCTTGATCAGGTAATAGGTAGTAACAGCCAAAGTCCTTGCCGTCGTCTCCGTCCCAGCACCAAGAATAACACTAGCATCCGCCGTCAACCGCTTAGGATGTTTTTCTTTCTCCGGAAGTTTACAACCAACATCATCCCGTATATCATGGAATATCGTGCGCCTCAGGTTTTTCGCGTCGCCATCGCCGTCCTCAAAGTTCATAATGCGTTCAATCCTGCCCAGCGTCCTGAGACTGAAGGTGTTCACTGTGGCTACGCCGGGGCTTAGTTTCTCGACAACTTTGGGCGGAAGATCGAGCATGAAGTTCATGATAGTAGGGAATTGACGCGCAAATGGCTCGATCTGAATCCCGTCGTGCATTACCTTGAGCCAGACTTTAGCGTAATCGTCGTGGTCTAGGGCTTTGATCGATTCGCCGAAGCAGTATTCGGAAATGGTGTCCATGGTGAAAGCAGCATATGCGTCGTTAAGGTTCACGACACCGGCTTTGGGCCCTTCCTTCTCAAGTTCGCCGGCGAAACGATCCATAAGCTTCTTGGTGTTGTCTACGACGAGCTCTTCGAGAGCTTGGACCGAGCGCTTGCTGAAGAAAGGCGCTATGGCATTTCGTCGCATTTTATGCAAGTCATGGTCTATGGTGTCCAGTATTGCGCCTTCCCAAGATTTCGCACCGGTGTGAAACGACCAACTACAACGATCGCGTTTGTGATTCATGCCGGATGCGTAGATCGTGTCGAAATAATCTGCATCGTGGATATGGACTTGAAGAGGATTGATCCGTATAATAGGCCCTGTCGCTGCGGTCAGAGCCGTAAGGCAGGTATCATTAACCTTGGCTCACCGTATTCTTCATGTAGCTGCTTGATCTTCCACATGTACTGGAATTTGTGCGGATAAATCTCATAGTAGAACTCGTACCAAAATGTGAACGCTGCTAGCTACACAGCGTTAGTCGTCATCTGGAGTCCCCCATACCACACGTTGTCTTCCAGGTCGTACCTTTGGGCCAGGAATGTTTGCCAAAGGGTGGAAATACACCCTGTACACGCCCACGGCGAGCCAGTACAGTATCCATATTCCAATCAGAGACGCAGCGAACTCTTTCGATGCGCTACTACGGATGAGATCCCAAAGGCGGTCCATGATAAGTGCGGTGGATGATGTGCGGGGATCGCATCTTCCACGCGAGGGGGCCTCGGCACGCCATACGTACACACGCTAGACTTCGTGCAGGTAACGTGAGACAACAACATAGTTTATTGGAACGACCGCCAATAATAGTGTCAGCATATTCAGCAGAGCGGGATATGCAAGGGCGCCAAGACCATGCACACCGCTAGCGCTTACCACGACTCTGATACGTCATGCAGGCTACACAAGCCCGTTGCATGTATGATTGCGATAAAGATGACTGATTGGCGGTCACAGATAGATTTCATACTGACCAATAGCATAGCTCCGCGTTGCTGGGTAATCGGATATCAGGTGGTGTTGGAGTTATGCCAGATAAAAGTAGCGGGAAGCCTTGTACTGCCCTCACGTGCTACAGATTTCCGAGCACCGCAGACTTTTCGCGGCGCTCTTGAAATGAGACTTGACATCCTTCGTAGTGCTATGACATATTCGCGACTCATATCCCAGAAGTCCGCTTTCAAGATGAATTTCGAACGCCAAAAAAGTTGTTAGACTTGAAGTCTCTGTAATTCGATGGCCATAAAACGGGCATCATCCTCCTTTCATTTGTCTTTGGCACTAGGTGTGCCGTCAGATGATCCCATACCACCCCTGGTCGAAGCACTACGTAAGCACTCATGTCACGTTCGTACGCGCTGTTTACCTCATAGGGCGGTGAATGGATAACAACGTGAGATCTCCGATGAGTTCTGTCCTGAAAGTCCTCTTTCAATATGCGGTACTACAAAGATGCAGACAGATAGGTACTTACGACAAATATATGGACACTTTCAACAAGGCTTTCGCCTGTGTGTTCAAGATAGACGGTGCATACTGGGCGAGGACTTGACTGAAGGTAGCGAGTTCCGTGTACGATTTCGATAGTGGCTTTCAAGCTTAGCGTTGGCGGTATGCTCGCTCCAGTTTCAGGCGATGCCCTCGGATAACAGCAACGCTGTCGATGAGAGTCCAAATGCTGCAGTCGAGGGTAAGTCGCACAGAGAGCCGTGCCCAGCCCGTTTATCATCAAGATATCATTCTCGATCATGTCAGCGGTTGGGCGCATAACTGCCTCTTTCTCCATCATCCATCGCACAAGGCCCAGGAGATAATCGTCGGCAGCCGTCGATCCAACCGATAGATCATCCTCGAACCATTCGACGATTTTATCAAGATTCGACTGAAATGACTTATCGTGCGATTGCCGGAGTTTCTGGCTAAGGTCCAAAGTATGTCCCATATACAATGTGATGAGTTCGAACAATATGCATCCCAGGGAGAATATATCTGCAGAGCGCCCGCTAGGTGCGAAACTCGCGACTTCCGGCGCGAAATACTTCGGTGTACCTCGTTCTCCATTTTCTGAAACACTTCCAGTTATGTCCGAGAAGTCTGTTGCCGTACCAAAGTCTGTCAACCATAGCCCGTCCATAGAAAGTAGAATGTTGGCAGGCTTCAAGTCTTTGTGCTTAATGTTGGACGCATGAAGGTATGCCACTGCACTTGCTATGCAGGTAATCGTTCGTTTTAGGAATACTATCGCGGGGACAATTCGGGTAGCGTGACCTCCAGTTGGAAGTCCCAGTTCGCGAAGTCTTGCTTTGCGATCGGCGTCGGGATCGGTCTGTTCTTCTAGTGGCTCGTCTGGATCCTGGAAGCGAAAGAGCTTTTGCTTCATTAACCAATCCACATCCTCAAGAAGAGTCGCGAGATCACAGGTCGCAACAGGCCACAGTAACAGTCCAAGGAATGAGCCGTGCGTATAGGTTCCCACGAGCCTGACGATGTGGCGATGTGAAAGCTTCTTGATGATCTCGATCTCACTTCTTTCTCTTTCGCCTATCTTGCGACGACAATATTTGCGTTTCCAGGCGAGTCTGATGCCATCGCATGTGGTCTCGTACACTCCGCCGTTCATGCCATGACCGAGAAACTCGCCTTCGGCCAGAGGAAGTACCTCAGACTTGTGGTAATCAACGTGAGATGTGCCGCGGCCAGACCAATCTAGCCTCACCGCATCGATGTATTCGCAGGTTGGTTGTTCAGGGAGATTTGCAGTGGCGGATGATGAAGAGGGAAGCTGGTTGGTGTAGTCTGAGTTCGACATTTGTTGGGACACCGAAATTGTATGACGACAGAGTCTTCGTAGAAGTCAACCAGGCTGTGGGCATCTCTTAGCTTCGCGAAGTGTGTTGGCCTGCGACTGCGGGATTCGCTAAGCCACAATATGCAGGCCGGGGTCAGCGATACCAAACCAACCATTTGCATCATCTGCCTCGTCTGTATCAGCTATTGGCATTGCCGAAGGACTTCAGACGTGAGCTCCTGTTGCGCCTGTGTTGGCCAGTTTGGCGCGTAAGTGAAACTGGCGGCAAAAAAGGTGAGACAAAAAGGATTTAACAGCTGAAACTGAGGATTGAACTCAGGATCTTCGCATATCGTACGACATACGAGTGCGACGCCTTACCACTTGGCCATTCCAGCCGAGTTATTACCGAGTGTAGATTAATCCACCATATGAAGACTCGTTGAGGGCGAGAAGAAGGGTTCAGCGCCGGTGGGACCGATATTTGCGGCGAGTGAAGGTACAAACGCTACAGGGACAGCAAGTGAGGTCGCTCGTTTCGGTGGAATCCACCTACTTGCGGATACTCGCCTTGTCCACGTTACTGACCAATGCGTCCCTCCACTCCTGATCATTCAGTATACTCCGCACCCTAGCCTCCAACCATTCGGTATTTCCCCAGAAGCCCCAGCTGGCCTGAAAGCGGAGCCAGTCTACGAGCGCCGTCTCCCAATGTCGCACGAAGATCGACCAGTTGTACTCTTGTTTGCCAGTCTCTCTCAGCCGTTCCCAATATCGTTGCAACAGCTGCTTCTCGCCTTCTTGCATGGATAGCTCCCGCGGGATATGCGAGTCGGCAACGAGCATGCTTAGCGGAACGGAGCATGTGAAGAACTTGGCAAGATCGCAGACGCCCAGACCTAGACCAGTATATTGGAAGTCGTAGAACGCGACTTCTTCGCCTGACTTGCTGGTGAACATGTTTTCAGACTTGACATCACCATGGATCAGAGTTTGGTATGCTTCGATTGGTGAACGGCCGGTAGCCTTGGGTGAGAGAAACGCTGCCGCTATCTCGGAGATGGACTGGTCTTCGCCATCGACCCAGTCGGTGAGCGGCTCGTTCCACTCCGCGTCGTAATCCTTCGCCAGAGTATTGTACTCCTTGCGACGCGTCGCAAGATAGGTATATCCGCCATTGAGCCACACCGATTTGTTCGACGAGGCCTGTCCATAACGTTGTACTTCCTCGAGCGGTGGTAGGACCAGAGACGCAGAGTCTAAAGACTTGACGCGGGTCCACCAGAAGCCATGAAAGCCGGAAAGCCAGTCCAGCGCGGCATAAGCTTGGGTCGCTGTCAACACGTCGCGTTTCTCTCCAGCCACAGGGTATTGCTGCTTCAGATCGCTCAATAACATCGCAGTCATCGAGGTGCCGTCCGTGTTGTGCTTGTTGATGCTAGCGACGCATTCGGCGACCGGTAAAGTTGCTGGCATTTGAGGAGCGAGGTGGCTATAGAAGTATTGTTCAATCTGATAGCTGAGGATCTTCCTGGTATGGCCTTCGTCGCTGGCTTTCGTCGGTGGGGGGTTTACAAGCTTGAGTATGTAGGATTTCGTCGAATCTGGCGAGCCTATCGGATTAGCGAATACGCGACATATCTCGCCGTAGCCTGCCCATAACGACTGGATGGTTTGCAGTGATTGAAGTTCTAGTCCCTTCTCGGAAAGGAGAGCAGACGCTACGTCGTCTGGTGATACTCGTGCAGGCATCGTATCTGCTGGTTGCCGTAGACGTGCGTATAGAAGCGGCAGTAGGAGGATTGAGATGCAAGGGACGAAGAAGCAGGCGAAAATCAGCTGCGACCGTGTAATCATCCGTACAGCGAAAGGATGAAGGTGAGAAGTGTGTGGTCTAGGCGCCTGGTCAAGGGGAATGGCGTTGGTGAACACCAAGGCATGCTGTTGTTGCAAAAGTATGCCGAGGGGTTGGATGACGCGACGCGTCATGCTAGTCATGTGTGAAGAACATAAGCGAACATCCTGAATCGAGCTCTCCGCGCATGCACCTGCGCATGCCCCACGCCTTATCAAAGTCGATACTGCCCTTCGCACTTCAGGTCATTGCAAAACTCGAGAACCTCCACGCCGCTGGACTGAACATGAACGACGAAAAGTACCGAATTGACGAGACGCCAGATACACACATAATGGGCCATTCGGATCGACTAAAGTTCATGCATTGGTATCTACTACGGAAAAACGAACAAGGTTTGATAAAGCTCTAGCCATATCTACAACAAGTACTGGAAGTAAATGTTCTCCTTGTCTGTCATGTCTTGCAGACCGTTCTCTCCGTGGACCTCAGCACCTGCCTCATGGAAATGGCCGCTCATCGAGTAATCGATGGGGTTTCTAGGAAGACCGGCCGCCTCACGCTGATCGCACTTCTTCTTCTGCATCCAGGTGATAAGGACGACTTGAGCGACAACGACTCCCCAGAGGATGCACCAGATTATCAAGATGCCCTTGAGAGCATTGACCTAAAAGCGGAGTGTTAGCGATGAGCTCGCGGCTGAGTATACGACAGGGATAGGATGCTTACGTATTGCGGTTGGAACTTCGAATCGAAGATGTACGGGGTGATGATGTTGCCTACGGAGTTGCCGGCGTTGAAAGAGGTGTAGTAGATGGCCTTCTTGGTTTGTCCGGCACAGTTGGAGCCCATCCACGAGATGAGCAAAGGGTTGATAGCGTACACGAAGGCAATCAGATAATAGCCTGCGAGCAGACCACCCTTGTTGTCCGGAGTTTTCGGGAGCGCAACCAAGAGAGCAACACCGACAATGACGATGGTAACGAGGCCGAGGAAGAATGGCGACTTGCGCTTGAAACGGTATGCAAGCCATGACGCACCAAGAATGGAAACGACCTGGAGCGCTCCGAAAGGCATGTTCAGCAAGACAGCTTCGTCCGAACTGAATCCAGCCAGATTCTTCAAGATAATGGAGCCGAAGACCGAAGAAACCGACGCACCGGCATTGACAGCGATGACCATGATCATATACAGCCAGTACTTGGGCTCACTCAAGGCCTCGGCAACATGACTCCAGTTGAACTTGTGCGAGACGATACCCTGTTGATTCGCCTTCACTCGGTCAACAGCTTTCAAGCGATCCTCCGGTGTCAGGAATCGAGCCTCGCCGGGGCTATCGTGGGCCCACCAGTATGTGATAAGACCGATTACGATAGTCAAGAGTCCGAAAAAGAGGTACACCATTTGATAGCGGTACAAGGAGGACGAGTTGATCTGAGCGAAACCGTAAACGATGGGTGAGCTGAGAACGGTGCTAAGACCATAGCAGCTGTACCAGCAAGCCACGCGGAATGGCTGCTCGGAACGCCTGTAGAAGGCAATGGTGATCATCGAGAACAGGGGAACAACCATAGCCTCAAAGGCACCGAGAAAGAATCGAGATGCCAGCAGCCCGGCGTAATTCCTAGAACCACCGAGGCCACCGGCAACTGAAATACCCCAGCATGTGATGATGACGGGAAGAACGTGGCGGTATCGCAGCTTGACGAGGATCCACGCGGCCAAAGGCTGCACACCGAGTTGCGCATAGTATCCGATGTTGCCGATGTTTGAGTAGTCGTTGCCTTTGAGATGGGCATCCTCCTTCAGACCATAGACGGCCGTCAATCCGATGATTCCCTTGTCGGCGGATTGCAGGAAGTACACCATGCAAAGGAGCGACAGCATCCAAATGTCCGTCTTGCGCAGAATGCGTTTGCTGTCTGCCTCGGTGCAGATATGAGCCTCGCTTAGGCCAGCCTCTTTGCCCTCCTCGTACGCCACGGCGTGGTCAATTGAAGTGTCGGATACATGCTCCATGCCGATAGCGGTCGGCTTCTCGTCCGCGGAAGCCATGTCGCAAGGTCGATGGGTGAAAAGATGGAGAAAAGAAGAGATCTGGGGATGAGCTACAGTCTGGGGTACAAGTCTGGGGTAGACGTTTATATGCCTTCGTTAACGCGACGCGAACGACACCAGCGGGACCCGGCCCAACGGCGCAACGGACTAGAATTATCCCTCCAACAGCTTTGCGCGCACTAGAAGGATGCACCGATGCATCCGTGCCTCTGTGAGCTGTGCTGATGCGAGCTTGGTGTAGCCAATAGCCCTGGCTGGAGGTCCTGATAGCAACCGGCTAAATCGATGGGAGGGAAGTGCTCGTGATGCGCCCATCGACCGCGGGAAGTACGAGCTTATGTCTGGATCAACGGCTCGGACTCTAAGAGACCGAGAAGGCTATGAGCGTGTTTGACGAAGTGAGTAAGGCTCACGGTGCTTCAATGGTTGACAGGTTTACCCGAGTGGTGCTGGGTTGATAGTCGAAGTCTATGGGTATAGTACGCACCGCTCCATCGTACATCAACGAGACCGACCGCCTGCCGATCTAGCCATGATCCCGGAAGCGTGGTAGGCGATGAGACGGTCGGAGCTTAGTGCACGCCCTGATGCTGTTGACACTACAAGTTTACCTAGGAATTACCCAATAGACATTGCGTCTTTGCCCTGGCATCATCGACTGCATCTACGCTTGACGACCTTTGATGTTCGAGACAAGACTCTATGCAGTGAACAAGACTTGCTTGACCAGACGACAAGCTTTTGGCCAAGAATGATCCAGGTGGCAATCTTGGGATTCTGGAAACGCTACGGCTAGAGTGGTGATTAGCCGCCTTACGTCATCCACTTCAATAATTCCACCAACAATCAATCTATGCTAGCGCCACATGGCCATCTCAGCTCTACTCATACAAACATCTTTAAGAGCAATAACATCGTGGAGTACGCTACACCAGCACAAGATTGATGGAATATCGTGATGTTGGATGATCGAGTCGGTTGCCGGTAGTCAGGGCGGAGGAGCCACGACCCCACAAAATGCCTCGGTGTCCGAGCGGCTCCACCAGCATTCCAAGAAATGCGGGGTAAACGTCATAACAGCTCGAGACATCGTTGATATTCTGGGGAAACCTTGAAAGAAGAACGGTTCACACATTGCAAAACCCGCAACCACCATATCAAACACCGACAAAGCCCGATCGCCGCTGCCTCACCAACATGGCCGACCCGAAAACCTCCACAGCGAGTCAGCGCTTGACGCAGATCAAAGATTTTCTCACCATGAATAAGACGGCAACAACCATACCATGGGATCCAGATAGCACTAAATTTCCGACAAGGAAGGAATTACCTCAGATTCCCGGGGCGCCTCCGGAGGCTGCTTGGGTTTGGGGTGACAGCGACTACGTACGTTCGACCGAAGTCTAATCTAGTTGCGGGCCGAACTGATCAGATGTAGATCGGCCGTCTCAACCTCCTGACACCTACACGTGTCGCAGCGGCTGCGAGGGAGATACGAACGGGGGAAATCGTGCCTGTTAAGTCCGTGTTATCATGATCCTTCTAATATGTCATTGCTGACCGCGAGGTAGTCTGCCTCTCAACGTGCCGAATGTTCCCGCGTTTGGTCGTGAGGTTTTTCAGCATGAGATCAAGACGCTGGCTGAAGGAATTGCCTACGACGATGTGTATCATATGAATACCCAGTCTGGCACGCAATGGGATGGCTTCCGACATTTCGCTCATATTCCCAGTGGTTCGTTCTACAACGGCGTATGTATCGAAACCCATCACAACGAACCTTTGCTAACATCCAGTATAGACCAAAGGAAGCGATATCGCCGGTCCAAACGCAAACCACAAGTGTTCCATCCACCACTGGGCCGAGCACGGCATCGCAGGTCGCGGGATCCTCCTAGACTACCGGGGCTACGCACACAAGAAGGGTATCAACTACGACCCCTACGACTACTACCCCATCTCATGGCAGGACCTATATCAATGCGGCCAAGACCAGGGTATTGATATTCGCCCCGCGGCTCAAGGCGGTGACATCAAGCCGGGAGATATGCTGTTCATCCGCAGCGGATGGAAGGAGGCGTACGACAGCAAGAGTGATGAAGACCGCAGCAAGGCTGCTCTTCGACATGGTAGCGGAAAGGATGGCGAAGATGGTCAGCGGTATGCTGGTGTGAGTCAGGAGGAGAAGATTCTGGATTGGCTGCATGATAGCTACTTTGCGTCTGTCGCTGGTGATGCACCGGCGTTTGAGGCGTGGCCTACACATGAGAGTACGTTTCCTTGAATTTACAGGCAACATCAGACTGACGTTGCTAGACTACCACCTTCACGAGTACATCCTCGCCCTTTGGGGAATGCCGCTCGGCGAGATGCTGGATCTCGAGAAGCTTGCGCAAACGTGCCGCGATAAGAACAGATGGTTCTTCTTCTTCACCTCTGCGCCTGCTAACTGCCCAGGTACGTTGAATACCCGGATTGACAAGGTCTTGCAACCGCTAACAGCATCATAGGCGGAGTAAGCTCACACGTCAACGGCACTGCCATCTTCTGAGCAATTCGAAAACGTACAAAGACCGCGTTGGAACTATATACATTGTCATAAACACCTAGCAATCGAACAGCCAATTCCACACCTTCTGTCTTGTGTGACCAACACGCTCTCTCTAACCAACACTAGATCAGGCTCGCAGAATCCATACATGCCAGCTACGCAGTATCAGCCTTGTTCAACCTACCAGATCTCGACTCCGGAATTGATGCGGGGCATGTTCTGCGCTCTCTGCGGCGTAAATTCTCCCTTGAGACGGTCCGTGCGTTCGCGTCTGAGTCTCGCGGCATGGCAGGTGCGTCCAACGCGATTGACTCACTGTCCCCTTCGATCTTCACAGCCTGCATCGCGCCGTCGAACAACGAGAACTGAATTTGCTGATCCATCAAAAGTCGTTAATAGGCCTGGTCGCCTTCAACAGCGCTGTCATCGCGTCCGACACGTGGGTTTGGCGATGGCGGCATCGGCGGTGGCTCGCGTGTCGGTGGCGCAAACTTCACCTCGTCAACGGGGCCGTCGGCTTGCGACGTGCCGAACATAGACGACGACGAGGATTTCGCATTGAGCTGGTTATTCACGTCTGTGTCGTCTAGTACATCAAGTCCGTCGGAAGGATCTACCTTGTGCATTTGGTCTGCAGTCCCTATCCGGTCATCGAAAGCAGGCAAAGAAGCATCGCTTTCGTCGCGCAACCTCCTGTGTTCCTCCACTCTTCGCCCTTCCCAATCCACCACCACAATGCCACATTCGATAGAATCTGCAGCGACCTGCTCAGCTTCGCGACTCGCTTTCTCGCGACGGTACTTGTAGCGTTGTTGTCTTTTCGCTTCCTCGGGCACCAACCTTTTCTTATAGCACTCTTCGGGCTTCGCATGCGTATGATACTGACAGCCCGCCAGCGACGAAGACCGTTCATCGTTTGAGAGGCGTCGCATAGCTGTCTCGAGCGCGGAACAAACGAACGGCTGCGGCAAGTCTGACGGATCGACGTCGCCGAACCCTTGCGCTGCAGAGTCGAGCCATCGATCGACTAGAAAGCGGCCTAGAGCTTTCGGCATGTTGTGTCTTTTTTCGCCAAAGATGTGCGAGATGGTATCGATGTCTGGTCGTACGCCCTTCGCTATCTTCTCTTCGAGCAGGTCCATGACGCGGTCAACGAATTCGATATCATTTATCACGTAGCCGTGTATCGCTGCGTTGATCAGTGGCCAGCACGCGATCCATGTGTGCCGCGGGTCGATACCGTCGGGGTCGAAGTTGACGTCGCGATAACGGGTGGGTATAACACCAGTGCGTCGCCATAGTTGGTGAAGTTCCGCTGCATCAGCGTCGATGTTGCGGCGTCTGAGCAGTGTAGTCGAATCGAATTCGGTATCAATGTTGACAGCAGACAACCGAGCCAAGCGCCGTGTCAAGTACCAGGAATCCGGGTTCTGACGGCCATATAGTACGCTGATCATTGACTGTCTCGGTGAATCCACAGCTACATTTTGTAGCGGCGATGCCAAGTGTACTCGCTGTGTGTTGGATGACTCTTCTCTCACAGGCTCTGACTGCACTGGTCCTTGCACGTCCGCGTCAACATCATCGATGACTTCATCGTCACTCCACAAGCTCCCGCCTTCAAGCAGCGCATGATAATCGCTCTTTCTTGTGCGCGCCTCGATGCTTGGCCGACGCCGAAACTTGCGACCTGTATCGCTGATATGGTCACTTCCATCGAAAATGCGGTCGGCGTTCCTAGGTTTCTGGCTTCTTAGACTGAGCGCGGTACTGTTGGAAGAACGCGACACTCGTGACGTTCTGGGGTTCGGGTATTCTTCAGCATAGGTTTCTGGAAAGCCAGCTGGTATGTGCAGAGGCATGCTGCCCCGCTCGAGTTTTCTTTGGATATCGCGCTTCTCTAAGGAAGACATCTTATCGGTAAAGAGGTTTCCCATGTCGAAGAGTGGAGGATGTCACGATCTTCCAAGGGTGCGCAGAATTACAGTGGTCAGGATCCAATCAGAATGAAGGCTTCATGGGTCGTTAGTGTCGAGGGCAAGATCTAGTAATATCGAGCAGCATTGGTGTGAAGCGCGCGCCTGTTTGTCATCGGCAGTTTCGTCACGTTACTACCAGCAAACGAACGCTCACGTTGACCACTGATGTCACCGCTCGCCTGGTCATGACTGGAAGTGATTCAGAATCGAAGTAACAGTTTATAGTAAAGTTACGACAAGAAAGCCAAGTATGAAGCCCGCTCATTATGTCTCTATCATCTTCGCGATATCTTATCGCGCGGCATGTACACAATGCCTTCGCAGCGTGGGACTAGCATAGTTTCGGCTAGGTCATCTGTAAACTCGGTAACATTCGTACTCGCAGGTCGGACCACGCTGTCAGAGCATTGCCCTACGGAGCACATCGAAGTCGACTACACTATTGCCGAACGCTCACCGCACCTTCGCATTTACCTTCCACACCATGTGCGCGATGACCGACCTTTACTACCCATCCAGCTCGGCGACATCGATCCGGCAGGCTTCAAGCTCTACATCGAGTGGCTCACCACCGGCGCTGTCAATTTCTCCACTCAAAGGTCCCTTCAACTCAACTCCTGTATCGACCTCATATACGCGCACATCGTCGGCTCCGCGTTCTCGCAACCGAACTTCCAAGACTACATCATCGACAAGCTAGCTTCTATTCTTGACCCCGCGCAAACTTTTGATCAAAAGATTCTTGAAATGCTGTATTTGGAAAAACACGCGTCGACGTTACTGCGGAAGTTTGTCACGGACAAGATGTTCGCGTATGACAGGAGGATGCTGAGTATGCTACGAAACTCCGTGGAGGATGTCGTGACTGGGATCAGTGATGTAAAGGGGTGTGAATACCACGTACATGATGAAGGGGTGTGCTATAGGCATGGAAGGCCGGGTGAGTTTGAAGAGATGGAGAGAGGTAACGGCCTAGGAGGGAAGAAGTGGAGTATTGACGATGATCCGGAACTGAATGCTATGGCAGCGCAATATTTGGGCAAAACGAAGATCCCTTCGAGAATGGACAAGTCAGCGAGTATTCTCGATACCAAACACCGTCCATCGACACAAAAGCTTCGACCTCAGGCAAACAAGCTCGCATCGCAACTCAGAATTCCCTCCTTACATGATATGCCCGATCAAAATATCACACATCAAGAACCTACCCGGTGGTCTCGAAACCTGCGGAGTCCCCGGCCCTCAACGAGATCTTTAACTCCCGATATAGATGTTGACAAGCCCTTGCCGCCGACACCTGAACCTCTCCAGGTGCCCAGTACACAAGATCTAGTTCTGGAATGTCTCGGGCGTCTCCCGCCAGCACCAGAGCAGTTTCCAACACAAGACCCCATCGGGGAATGTCTCGCGCGCACGTCGTCAGAATACCTCAAGTCCATTACTCCAACAGATAACGCCGACTTACAGCGTTCAGTCAGGACATCAAGACGCCCACCAACTCCACCGCGGTATTTTTCGCCCCTACCTCCAACCTCTACATCTACTTCCCGGCCTTCTTCCCCATCAGAGTTCATACCCCCCTCCCTACGCCCAGGCACACCCCTGCCATCCACGCACCCAACCCGTAACCTAACCTTCGCACCTCTACCGAAATCACACCGCACTACGCCTAGACCGCGGCCTCAAACGCCGAGCTCCAACACAACGCATACTACCCCTTCCATTGCTCCATATACGCACAGGTCATCTACTCCAGAACCGCGTTCCAAACTATCGCCATCGCCATACTGTGACAGGTCAACCACTCCAGCACCTAGGCCTTCACCATCCCCATCCCCCTCACCCTCGCCCTCCCCACCACCCCTGCTCCAACGCCCCTACCACATATCCCCCTCCTCCCCGTCCCTACCCCACTTCGCCCCGCTGATAAAACGCAAACCCGCACCACCACGAGGCGTAGATTGGCTGGAGCAATGGGACCGGCTTTTCGAACTGCAAGGTACGCAGGGCTTTGGGCTGAGAAGGGCAGAGAAGAAAGAAAGGAGGAGTCGGTTCATGGAGATATTGGAGAGTGTGGGGAGTGTGGGGAGTGGGATGGTGGATGGGAAAGTACGTTGAGCGGGTATGGGCATAGGAATGGGAATGAGTGTTTGGGTTGTAGTATGGAGGCTGTGAGGGGGAGGAGGTGGAGACTGTGAGTTTTTGCTATTGGAATACATATCAATATGATTATGTGAGACTGAGCAGTTATTAGTAAGGGGTCGTCGAAGTGTAGTACAGCCCTTTACTAGTACAAAAATCATATCTCAGCACAATGGTAAATACAATACATCCTTAGCTATATAAGTAAGCCTAGGCTAAGCCTCGCGACGCAGCACAAGGTTTACCCGGTGAGGTAGCCCTCCTCATAGAAATCAGGCCACAACAACAGCATCACCATCGTGCGTGCGGCTATTGTTGTTACCTGATTTCTATGAGGAGAGCTACCTCGCCTGCCGGAGTATACATATGACAGCTATCTAACTAATTAAGCTTTACCCAAGCCCTTCCCCTCATCATCGCTTTCCCGCTCAACAGTCGCCTCCACATGCTCAGTCATGAGGTGTTTGATACCCTTCATCGAAAGCACAGCAATGGTTGCAAGCGCAACAAACGGCACCACACTCCAATACCCCAGTCTATACGCGCGCGCGTAGGACCAATGGCTCGCGTCCCATGCAGCCGTGATGATAGTTTCGTTCGCGCCAGGTACACCTGCGCCTCTGAACTTAGACGCTGAACTACCCTTCATGCCTTTCAGAAGCGCAGTCACAGAGGACTCAGGGAGGCCGGCAGCGATAGCGGCAGAGCTGACGTCTCCGGCGAGGTGAGAAGCGACGCGCGAGTTCACAATCGCGTAGATGACGGCAGTGCCGAAAGCGCCGCCGATGGCTCGGGCGGAGAAAGCGAGGCCGGTGGCTGTGGAGAGGAAGGCGTGAGGGGCTGTGAATTGGATGCATGCGACTAGGAGTGTGAGGGGGCCTGCGCACCCGATACCTGTCAAGGCTGTGAAGACGATCTGTTCGGTGGCCCAGCCGGGGCGGATGAAGGCGAAACAGATTGAGGCGATGAACATTATGGCGAAGGTGGCTGCTAGAGGGGTTTCTGGGGGGATGTTAGTGGAGGGTGTGAAGAAGAATGCAGTGTATCTTACTCATGTCTTTGAACCTCGTCGCATACCACGTTACCGCTAGCGAAGTGAAGATCGATGCGATCTTGTAGGACAGTTGCCGGATGGCAATATCCCATGCGTTGTCTTCGAATCCAACGTTCAAGATTAGCTGGGGTGTAACGGCGTTGATGGCAGAATAGTAGATCCATCCCTCGATAGCAAAGGCGAAAGTCGACAGCCAGAAGTTCGGTCCAGTGGAGAAGAAGACGTGGGCGACGATGCCATCAGACCGGCCCTTCCATTCTGTACCATGTCAGCTTTTGACTCAAACTTAAGGTACCTAAGGGTAGTTTACCATAGAGACAAAAGGCGATGAAGAGAACAATGCCAACAACTAGGTTGGCGCATACATGCGGGTTGCTCCACGGGTACGCGCCTCCTGCCCAGTTGAGCGCCAAAAGCATCAAGGTAGCAGCAGCAACGAGAAGAAGGGAGCCAACGGGGTCGCAAGCCCACATCCACTCTTTGTAGCCCATACGTGGATAGTCAGTGCGTTTCTTTGGCCAGTAGAATGCGAATAGACCAAGCGATGTGATGCCGTGTAGGCCGACTTGGATCCAGAAGATGTAGCGCCAGCCGGAAGCACTTAGGTTGGTAACTGCACCGGCTGCTAGACTACCGACACTGCGCAGAGTTATTACGTGTCAAATGCATCTACCCACGGGAAGTGTCTACTTACGTTCCGCCCAATACGCCGGCAACGCCTGCAAGTCCGTTCGCTAGAGGTCGATACTTCAAAGGCAGAATTTCGGATGGGATAGACTGGACGATGGAGATGGTTGCAAGTGTCGTGCCGATGAGGATACCGCCTCCAATCAACATAGACATGCTCGTAGCTTTGGCGCAGATGATGGAACCAATGCATGCGATCAGTGGAGGTATGGTGGCGAAAAGCTTGCGATCCAAGACATCAGACAGGCGACCGACGGGAGGTGAGAGAACTGATTGCATGAGGAGTGGGCCCTATAGAGTATCAGAATTCGGTGTTAAAGTCTTTTCTTAGGTCTGCTGTACCTGAATGATCCAGCTTGCAATTGCAGGTTCTCCAAGCTCGCGGATGATGAACGACAGTACTGATCCTGCAGCCACTACCACAAAAACTTGAGACATGACGCTACATTGGGAGTCAGCAAGGTCCTGAAAAGGGTTGCGCGCAACGTACGCGAAGCAACAGCAGAAGACGACCATCCAGGACCTCCATGACAGCTTGACATGATGGACGTCCTCATTGGCTTCCTGGTCGATGGACACGATGTGGGCGTCGCGACCGTGGGCGGTTTCGATATGGGTAGCTCCCGTCTTGCTGTCCATGACTGCCTTATCCAGACGACAAGTTGGATCGAGAATGAAGACAAGACGGGCGAGGCCTGCATCTCATATCACTACACATATACTGCAGTGGGGCACCATGCCGTGGGCTCTTGGCCGGGGCATTCTGACAACGGGATGAGCGGTAGCGGGCTTGAGCTACAACGCCATGCATATCGGCAGATTTGGATGCTGGGGTTGAGGTCCTCTCAAGAGGCGTTTGGATGATGTTTACCGAATCATCGGGAGGAGATGATGCGGGGCCCCATATTGGGTGAAGATTGGCGCTCCTTCGCTGCAACGTGATGCGGGGAGGCGCGCCCATGAGTCGGGAGCTGCGCGCCTTACCCCGAGACACCCCTTCTCTTTCCTTTTCACTGCATGGGTGAGGTTCTATCGCGACATGTTGCTGCTACATGATGAGGGCTGGTGAGGAGCGAGGAGGTGAGGTTGGATGAAAGAGGAAGGGTCAACCGGAGTTAAGCAGGCTCGCCCCGCTGGACCCTGAGACTTTTGTTGTCTTTGCGCAGGCTTCACGCTCCCACCGACCAACATCCCACCGCCAACCTCTTAGCCGACGCCTATACGACGCATAGTAGCCTTTTAGCTGCCCTTAACACTGACTCCCCCGCCAGGCGATGCTATGAGCAGCCCACCGCCTCTCGCAGGCCATCTGGTCCCCCTCCGCACCAAGGACGAGGTGCGCGCCAGCCTGGAGACGCACACCGTCTATGTCGTCGAGGTGCCGGCCAAGTTTGCCAACGTTATCAAGGAGTGAGGCCGTCACTCCTGGGGCTCCCGCTTGATCTCTGCTAACCTCGCCCGCTCGCAGTGCCGTGCAAGCAGCGTTGCCCGACTTCAAAACGTCGGAGATCTCTCACCTGCGCCGCGTGGTGCAGTTCAAGTACCTGCCGCCGCACCTGCAGAAACAGTTCTATCCGCCTGCAAGGCTCCCCAGGGGTAACGAAGATGCTCCTGCCTCAGAACTACCATCTTCCCCACTAACACCGGCGACCCCCGCTTTCCCTTCCGCGTCCCCGTCCTCAGTCGATGCTGGCAGTGAGGCTGCTCATGGAGAGGCTGATGCTAAAGATTTTGATTTAGTCCGCTACTTCCTGCTGTGTCCCACGCGCCATATGCCCCACGCCAACCTCGCGGCTCTGATACGGACCTGCCCGCCCTTCGACGGCCCCAAGACTGCGCTCCCTCGGATCCTCTACGTAACCGTGCCGGCCCTGGCGCCCATATCCCAGCAGCAGGCTGACGACTGGAGCGACAAGTACTGGCCCATCTCGTACAAGAACACCAACCCCTACGGCCCCCATCCGAGCCTCGTACAACGCAACCAGGAGGAACTACAACCCGAGGCAGGAAACTGGCTGGCTCTCGCCCGAGCGGCCGGCCAGCAGATATCGGATCAGTGTCTGGGTGAGAAGATCGGCGTCGTCGTGGTTGACCGCACCAGGAACCAGCCAGAGATCGTCGCGGTTGCAGGCGACTGCCGCTGGAGGTCTTTCACCGGCACCGCGGAACCACCCACCGGCACCGGCAATGTCATGGCTCACGCCGTCCACCGCGCCATCGCCATGGTTGCGAAGAAGCGGCTGCGTGCTGCCGGCACCGACCCTGCACTTCTCGACCGCTCCCTCTTCTGCGACAACCCCCTCACCGGTCTCGAGAAGCTATACTACGAAAAGGACAACCTCTCATCGAGCGGCTACCTGTGCGTAGATCTCGACATCTACCTGACCAACGAGCCCTGCGTCATGTGCTCCATGGCCATCCTACACTCGCGCTTCCGGCGCTGCATCTTCGGCAAGCGCATGCCTCACACCGGCGGCATAACAGCAGACGGACCGGGCGACTCTTCCTCAGCGGGCAGCGGACTGAAGAAAGGCCTCTTCTGGCGGCCGAGCGAGCTCAACTGGAAGTTCCTGGCCTGGGAGTTCAACGAGGACGGCAAGACTGCGGATGCGGACAGTGGCTTCAAGGAGACACTGCATGCATGAACGCGTCCATCACGCTTGACCTGCATTGGATACAAAGCATAGACACGGCGTATTGGATTAACACTGTCGATGGTAATGGGATTATAGGGGATGATTATACCAACATGAGTAACATGAATACGGGGTTAGGAAGGCAGCATCTGTACGATAGCAAATGAAATAAAATGAACACGCTCATCTCCTCTTAAGCACTTGTGATGCCCCTATAAGTATCAAACAAGCACTGCCCACTTCATAGCATCCTCAAATACTCATGCGACGCGCATGCACATACACAAGTCTCACGACCTGATTATACCGAATCCTCAAATAGTCCTTCTGTGGACACTGCTGGCCGCACACAATCGTAAGCGCAGTCTGACCAGCTTTAGTCCGAGCAATGGCGTTAGCACCGTGGCGCAGGTACAAAGCCACAAAGTCAACAGCGTGCCTCCGCGCGGCGAAGAACAAGGGTGTCCGTCCCTCTTTATCGCGATGGTTGACATCGGCTCCAGCTTTGAGTAACAATTTTGCAACCTCTACGCCCTGATGCACTTCCGGGTCGATGTGGAAAAGAGCTGTTTGTCCACGCGCGTCTCGATTGTTCACATCTACACCTTTTTCCAGGAGCAGTTTTATGGTTTCTAGGTCCAGCCAGGATGAGCTGCAGGCTTCGATGAGGGGGGTACGGCCGCGCCTGTTTCTGGCTTCGGTGTTGGCGTTGTTGCGCAGGTAGAGCGCGACGAGTTTGGGGTTGCCCCATTGGCAGGCAACGTGTAGTGGTGTGTTGCCCTTTTTTGACACGGCGTCTAGCTCAGCGCCGCAGTTGATGAGGTGCTGTGCGACGGTTGGTTGGTAGTGGGGCTCTATGTCGAGGATAGTGAAGGCGTTGTTGTCTCGTTCGAAGTTGACGAGTGCGTCTGGGCGGAGGGAGAGGTCTGTTGCGCCTTGCTTCTCGGCGGAAACAGTTAGTGTGATCAGGCCAGAAGTGTCTGTGTCATGTGTGGTCTTGATTGTGGCTTTCACTTGTTCTGCCGAGTCCACGGGCGTCAAACATGCCCCGGCGGAGAGGAGGCATTCTGCAATCGTCGCGTATGGCTTAGCTGTATCTCCGATCGACGGAAGATTATCGAGACTTGGTGATTCGCTAGGGGGGTCTGAAAGCTTCGTTGCTATGTCTCGATAGTGACGGTCGCGCTGGCTCAGACTAGTCCATCGTTTCACGGCTTCGGTCAAAGGGTTGCGACGGGGAGGCGTGGGGCAAGTTACGTCTGCTCCGTAGAGAATCAATAACTCTATGAGGGGAACCCAACCCTCGACAGCTGCTCTGGATATGACGGTGTGTCCATGCTCATCCATAGAGTCCATATTCTCGCCAAAGCCGCGGACTGTCAGTCTGAAAGGTGGAATCTTGAGGTGGGAGACTTTAGTGAAGACTTTAGACCCATCGTTATCGTCGAGTTTGGTTTGAGAGATATTGTCTAGTATCAGTCGAGCAATATCATCCCTGCCTCTGGTTGCAGCGAACATGAGCGCATCGTTCTTGTCGGATTCCCTTAATCGAAGACCTAATGAAGAGCTGGCAAGGGTATCAGGTGTCGGTACACGCAGAGGTTCATCGACCGAGTAGTCGCCATAGTGGTGCAATTTCATGGTCCTCGTTCTGGCGTCTGCTTCGAGTATGATCTCAACGATAGACAGGTGACCAAACCAGGCGGCGGCGACCAGGGATGCGCCAGCATCACCGGGGGTGATCCTGTAATTCGCCTCCCCGGATATGAAAAGCTCGACAACAGCTTTGTGGCCCTTGAAAGCAGCCACAAGCAGTGGTGATTCGTTTATATGCCTCAGCTCGCGGATGTCGCCGTAACGTGCAGTAAACCATTCGGTATGATCACAAACAAAAATAACCTCCTCGACACATGCGCCTTGTGGTCCCCAATTGGCTCCATTTTTGATCAAAAATCGAATAATCTCAGTATCGCCATAGTGGCTTGCATACAGAAGTACGCTGTTCCCACCTTCGCTCACATAGTTGACATCAGCATTCCGTCTCAAGAGTATTTCCATGATATTCTTTTGGCGATGCCTTGCAGCGACTAAAAGTGGTGTCACCCTGTCCGTAGGACTATCGTCACGGATGCTCATCTTGGGATAAAGATCGACGATGTCAGGGTTCCCATGTTCATCGAGAAGCGCAGTCAAAGGGATGACTAGACCGTACTGAGCTGCGACGTGGATGCCTTGGGTTCCCAGTGGAATTTTGTGCCCCCTAGTATCACGATACGGATTCTTACGATCTTCGCATGACCAATGCAACTTGTGCAACGCCAATATGTTCAACGGTAGGCTGAGAAACCGTGACACCTGTTCACAGGCTTCAGGGGCTAGACTCGCATGATGACCCCAGTGCCTGGCAGCGTACCAGTAGAGATGTTTCGTCCGTACAAGAACATCTGCATCGTTATCGAGATACCATTCGTTTGGTTGGCTGAATACGTCGAATGAGAGGTATGTAGCGCAGACATCGGTGATCATGTCATGTGCCCTTGGAAACCACCGATGTTGCGTCCGTGCAAGGTACTCCTGCGTCGTATAATGAACTAATCGGAGGAAACCGGTCCCACTATCCACGATGACAAGCCCGAGGCATGCGGCAACAGCGTCTTCGATGTCTGGAAAATTGTCGGAATCCAACTCAGGCTCACCAACCTCCACACCAAGCGCCTCTTGTAGCTCGTCAGTCCCGAGACGGCTACGTGCACATGAAAGAAACGCCAGAGTCTGTTTAGCTAGATCGGCCTGATCAGCGACCTGACCCTCAATTCTTTCCATTGCAGCTTCGTACGCACGATCGTAAGCGTCAGATCCAGTGGCAAGTTGGTTCAGAGCATTCCGAAGGACTTTTACTGACTTCTTCCCAGCAAGAGAGTCAAGATGGAGCTTGGCTAAGAGAAACCTGTGAGCTACTCAGCGACACCGACAGCATTCATTCGTGGATACATACATCCCAGAGACTGCATCTACAACCTTAGTAATGAGCTCTTGTTGCAACTCGCCGTTCTTTCGCACAAAGTTTGGTAGGCGAATGATGTTCTCCGAAAGATACGTTCGTACGTCGATTTCATTGGCTTGTATGTTCAAAGTCTCAACTCCTTTGAATCTTTCCATAACGTCTGGCATGAATCGCGAAGTTGCGAGTAGATTGACGTTGAGCTGTTTCTTTACCCGTAAACCGTCGATGGCTGATAGCAGCTTTGCACGGCAATGATTTATCGTAGAACATTCGTCCAGAGCGTCCAGGACGATGAAGACCTTCGAGAAGAGTGCGACCACCGAGCCCAGGACGCCCATAATGGCAGACGCTCTGTCGAATCTGGTGGCGCCTTTCTTCGCACTCTCTGCAGAGTCATACAGATTCTTGACGGTTTCTGGTAATGGCGTTCTCTGATCGGCAAGCTGCTTCAGCAAAATCGCTAGCAGGTTATCCAATGTTTGCTCCCTTTGAGACTTGTAGCTGCAGAATAGATACGCTAGCCCGACTTCATCGTTCTGGTCGTACTTTTCCCAGAGATCATCGTTGATGATCGCAGCGAATACCGTTTTGCCTGCCCCAGGTATACCTGGGCAGAATAAGGTACGACCAGGTTCGTCGATCCAGGTTTGGTATGCTTGCGAGTGCAAGAGCCACCCGCCAGTACCAGCTTGGCGTGTATTTATGGCAGCCTTCTGCTGCGCCGAATGATCAATGGGCGTGAGCCAATCGAGGATATACTGACGCTTTCGCAAAGTCTCATCAGTGTCGTGTCGCTTTTGTAGATTCTCGACTCTTTCCAGAACTCCCTCCTGCGCCATTTGTATCGTTTGCAGCTCGCTATCCAAGCCTCGCAGTGCAGCATGGGTTTCCTCGATGCTTGATTCTAGGATGTTTTTCACGTCGATGAGATGCTGTTCGTTGCGCTTGGAACCCGCGTTGATCGCAATGAGTAATGATGCCGAGTTATTTTGAAGAGCGAAGGTCACCATATCCATCTCAGACTTGATCGCCTCAATCATCTTCTCCACATCCTTCTCTTTGAACGGCCATCCCAATTTCTCGGCAATGCCATCTCGGGCGTTCAACGCGACAGCTGCCAGACTCAAAGCCTCCTGGAGGCGCGCAAGCGGAGTAGAGAGTACCCTCAGAGTCTTAGACCACTCCTCCACCTCGTCAGAATCTTCCACGTCGTCTTGCAACTGCAGTAACAGGTTACTGCAATTGCGGACTTGTGAGCGAAGGCGCTGCTTCTCATGTTTGGCCCCATGTACAGTTTTGATGTAATGGATAACCTTTTCGCATAGCTGGGCGACTGCTATGATGCTTGCGGTCGTCTCCATGTGTGCCTTGGTGATGGTGTCATGTTATGGTGAGATGGCACGAGACGCGGGGTTGGTGAGAGCCCCAATCAAGCTCATGCATGATGGGAGGCTGTGCCACCTTGCTGCAGCAGGCAACGAATGCGCGATCGTCAATGAGTGACGACATGATGCGAATGTGGGGAGAGATCGCTATCATCTCGTGTCGAGGTGTTCGTGGTGCAGGGGAAAGACGACGTGTGGCTACCCAAGTAAGCAAGTGGTACCTAGGTACCCGTGGACCAAGCGCCAACACCGCATCACGTGACGTTTGGAAGCCCGGCCAATTTTTGCGAGCTTGCATCTTTGCGAGCCGTGTATTTCAGATCAAGTCATCACACTGTATTACGCGACGCGTAGAGCGAACGAGGACACTATTAAAAATCGAACCATATCTCAGCGTAACCAATGAACTCATGCAGGTGTGAAATTTTGGGCTCTAGTATCACAATACCAAATTCTCTTCATGTGGGGAGTTTCCCCTTGATGTATTCGTATTTAAGCTTCAATGAGACTCATGGTGGTAAAACCCTCCAAGATACTAGGGGTTTCAGGTAGCATTTCATCGTCTTACTTCGTGTTCAATCCAATAATCCCGGTCTTTCTTGAGCTCTTCTGGAGATTGGAAATACTTACGGAGCTTGTCTATGCACCATATTCGCGTTTTATTATTTGGTACGAGACTCACTCTGGCGCCAAACAAGACAGCGATGGGTACGATGTAGCCTCTTTCCCGGACGCAAGCCCCATGAAGTAGCGGCTGTCCTTCTTTATCGCATATGTTAGGATCGGCTCCCGCGTTGAGCATCACGCTGATAGATGCGTCGTGTGTGAACATGCTGCAGATAGTAAGTAGTGGGGTTCTGCCTTCAATATCCTGGAAGTTTACGTCTGCGCCCTTGTCAAGAAGATGCTCGAGCAGAGAAATGTTCTCATCAAAGGCACTGGAGTGCAAAACAGTCCTGCCCCAGTTGTTCGCGCAGTTGATGTCGGCTCCAGCATCGAGCAGCACGTCGATGATCTCTCGATCTTGTTTGTCAACGGCCATCGCCAGCGGGCTCTTGTGGCGATATCTATTGTGAGCATACCCGCCCTTCAGGTTCACGTCAACCCCGTGATCGATAAGAAGTCGGATGATATCCACATATCCGCGATCCACTGCTATGTACAGCGGTGAGTAGCGAGTCCACACACGACTTTCTATCTGAGGCTGTCCATACAGCATCGCGTCCATGATATTTTGAGTCGCCGTGTCCGCAATGACGAGCTGAACTATGCCGATGTTTCCACTGTGAACTGCGAAGTGGAGCGTCGAATAGCGATACCCGCTTTTCGAATCTGTCTTAGCGCCGTGGCGAAGAAGTAGTCTGACTGTCTCAAGATGACCACTTTCAGCAGCCAGCATTAGTGGAGTAAGTCCTAGTCGGTCTGGTGCGTTCACATCGTATCCTCGCCGGAGTAGTGCGACCAGTGTGTCGCAAAGTCCAAAGTGAGCGGCCAAATGGATACCCGACGTCGAATCCTGGGATGACCGCGGACGCCTAAATGATATGTCATTATAATCGTCCGGTCGATCCGCCAACGAACTGAGTATTATCAAGGCAGAGCATTTAAGATTCCACGACAGCCCAAAGAAGTCGATGGCCATTCGATTAACTCCAGCCAACATGCGAGCGTGACGTCCCCAATTGCATGCAGCATAACAGTACAAAGGGTCCCAGTGTGCGGGGAACTTTTGAAGGTAATTACAGTATTCAAGCTTCTCGGTCAGGTCCGAATATAGGCCCGCAGTTCCGTATTCCTCCATGGAAAGATATGCGATGCAAGCTTCTGTGATCACAGTCTCTGCTTCCGGAAACCATCGATGCCGTGTTCGATCCAGATATTCCTGAGTGGTGTAGTGTACCAAACGGATGATGTTACTTTCTTCGTCGATCGTCACTAGGCCAGCGCAAGCGGAAATCATATCCAGAACGTCTGGACAGTCATCTTCATCGAATGTAGATTGTCCTACTTGTATGCCAAGCGCTTTGCGAAGGTCCGCAGATTTGAAAGGCTCATGCAAGCATGTGATCCAAGCTAGAACCTCCCGACCAAGCTTTGCTCGATCGGGGGGTTGCTCTTCGATACGCTGCATTGTCAGGCGATACGCATAGTCATATGCTTCGGTCACAGTTGTGGTCTTTTGGCCCCTCGCTTCGGTCTTAATCTCGTTCAGTGCTTTCCGAACAGCGTTTGCTGATCGCTTGTCGTAAAGACTTTGTACATAGAGCTTCGCTAGAAGGAACCTATAATGTGTCAGTGCCTGGCATCTCCATTGCGCAGTTCGAGTTTGGTGATGCTCGAAACTTTGCTTTGTACTACTTACATGCCATCCACTGATTCGACGATTTTCAGCTTGATTAGTTCCTGGAGTTCGACATTGCGCTGAACGGACTGTGGCATGTTGTTGAGGTTGCCGACCACATATTTGCGAACATCATCGCTACTAGCACGTACTTCGAGAGGCTTCTCTGCGCCGAATTCTGCAAGCACTTCCGGGACGGTCCTTGATGTCGCTAGCAGACTTGTTCTGGAGTTTGCCTGTAGATTCAACAGTTCGGATAAGAATATCCTCCTGCAGCCATCAGACACTTGACATTCGTCTAGTGCATCGATCACAACGTAAAGTCTCCGGAACAGTGCAGCCACGTCCTTGAGGCATTGAGCGAGGGTCCTCCACGAAGGACGTCTGACGCCCTTCCCATGGTCGGAATAGAGCTGTTCGATGGGTATCGGCAAAGTTTCCTGGCTTTCTGCCAGTACCTTCAACAGACTGCAAAGCATGAACTCCAAGGTTTGCTCATCGCGAGTCCTGTAATCGCAATAGAAGTAGGCGACTGCTACGCCGGCGTTGGTCTGGAATCGGGTTTGTAGATCGTCGATAATGATGGAGGCGAGCATCGTCTTGCCAGCCCCAGGCAGGCCAGTACAGAGGAGCTTACTCGCACTGGAGTTGTCGAGCCAAGCGTCGTAGGCTTTCGACTCTAGAAACCAGTTGCCGGTACCCTCTTGTCGCTTGCTCAATATATCATGATGCTTGGATGCATGATCGAAAGTAGATAGCCATTGGAGTACCGCGTCGCGTTTCTTGGAAGATTCCCGGTGGTGATCGGTACTTTGAAGACGTTCGACGTCGTGGTGCAGACCGACCTGGAGCGTTTGAATTTGCGACATATGATCATTAAGCTTACAGAACTCCTTCCCGATGTTACTCGCACTCATGTCCATCGATTGCAGTAGAATCGCAAGGTCTCGATTGTTTTGCTCCGCGCATTCCTTGATCTCCCGAAGCAGCTTCCGAGAATCTCGCGATAGGGCCAAGTTTATCAGGATTTTCTCGCGTTCGATCGACTGGATGAGCTTCTGTACATCCTTTTCTTGGAATGGCCACTTCAGTGAGCCCCTCAGAGTATTGTCGTGTTTCAGTCGGGTCTCAACTTGCAGTAGAATAGTCTGAAGTCGAGGTAGTGGTCCATCAGGTCGTTCGAGCACGTTGATCGTGTCGACCAAGCTTTCGCCCTCGTCGATATCTTCGGCATCATCCTTCAGTTCCTGCAGTATACGTTTGCAGGCGCGAACTTCTCCGCGCAGTCTCTTGCGGTCTTCCGAGGCGTCTTTTACTTTACCGACGTAGTCGACAATCTTGCCCGATAGTTGAAGTACGGCGATGACACTTGCCAATTCGCCCAGACCTGACATGACGAGTGAAGCATGCGGGCTTCGAAAAGCCTTTCTCGGGGTTTATGTAGCTTTTGGGCAAGTTGAGGAGTCGAGCTGTACAAGAGCAGGCCTCTTGAGAGTGGGCACGTCATGGCTCACATCATCTAGTGCGGGGCGAAGCTGCTGTCCTGCGTCCATCCCATGTACGATCATCATGCAGTCCGACGGCACAGTTCGCGTGTGCAACCACCAGAACGAACCTGATAGGCTGAAAGCAGGGCGCAGTCGGCGAGACTTCGACATGCCCCGTATAGGGCGATAAACAGGGTGACTGTCCATTTGGATCTGGGATCTTCGTTGCGATGAGAGGTGGATTGATAGTGGCTGTGACATGTAAGAGTGGGTGGAAGCAAGGAGTTGGCAGTCGCGGACGATGCACGTGCACTCGCGTTCGGCGCCAAGCTAGCGCGATTTCCTCAGCCCTCAATCCGCCAGCGGTTACAAACATCCAGAACAACATCGCGACAATGTTACCCGACGAGATCATCGCCCAGCTAAATGCTGAATTCCAATGCCGCGATCAGCAGATACACCACCTGGCAGCCCTGTATAGCGTCCGTACAACCATCAGACTTCCGGGCCATTGTACTAACAGCAACTCAGGCGCATCTCCCATCTCCACCCTTTCTGAACATCCATGGCCTTACAGCAACTGGCAAATCCTCGATATTGCGCTCCTTCTTCCATCTCTCCCGCATACAACACACGATCATCAACGTTCGCGAATGCATAACCGCGCGGCATCTCCTGGAGCGCATCGTCGCGGCTAGTCTGGATGCGCTGGATGAGTTCAACGATGAGAAGATTGATAGGAGACCATATGCGCGTACGGAGAATCTAAGCGCGCTATGCGTCAACATGGAGAAGCTGCTGGCGGGTAGAGGGAAGTTTGTGTTGGTGCTCGATGCAGTGGATAAGTTGAGGGAAGGGGGTGGAACTCTGATTGCTGCTATGGGGAGACTAGGAGAGATGGTATGTCATACCACAAGCAAATTGAGATGCCAGATGCTGACAGTGCGAGCAGATACCAAATCTCTCGCTCATCCTCACAACGACCCTCCCCCTCACACCCTCCGTCCTCCACTCGTCATCAGCCTCTTTCCTCCACTTCCCATCCTACGCCCGTAGCGAACTCCTCACAATCCTCGGCGCCAACCCACCAAAGATCTTCCTCGAACCGCCCTCCCTCGAACAATTCCCAGACTACACACCCGATCTCGCAGCCGAAGACGACCAGTGGCTCTGGGGCCGCTTTATCCAAGCCGTCTACGACTCCCTCGCAAAGCACACCGGACGAGATCTGATCAGCTTCAAGAGCTGCGCAATGCGCCTCTGGCGACCGTTCGTCGAGCCAGTAGTGTCTGGACAGTTCGGCACACGCGATTTCTCGCGCTTGATGGTGAATAGGCGGCATCTGTTCCAGCTTGAAGACTCGGTCCTGGATCGAATCATCTCAGACGCCGCCGAACCTGTCAAAGAAGTAGCACCGGCAGGCGCCACACCAGCAACGCCTAGCAAGAAGAAGCCAGCGAACATGACGGCGCACACCCTTCCGTACTTCACGACCCACATCCTCCTCGCCGCATACCTCGCGTCCTACAACCCTTCGCGAACCGACGTCACATACTTCATGAAGCACACCGACAAGCGGAAGAACAAGCGACGCGCACCCAGCGCTGCGTCTTTCAGCGTCACGGGCAAGCGCACAGGAGCTAAGCATCGGAAGATCAGTCGGCATCTTTTGACGCCCAGCCCGTTCACTCTGGACAGGTTGCTAGCAATCTTCAGAGCATTGCTCGAAGGAACGGTACCTCAAGTAGCGGATTTATACACACAGATAGCTACATTGACGAGCATGCGATTACTCGTCAGAGCCGGAGGAGCAGGAAGCAACGACGCACTAGAAGGAGGCGGACGGTGGCGCGTAAACTTCGGCTGGGAATACGTACGCGCGCTGGGCAGAAGCGTGAATCTGGAAGTAGGCGAATATCTTGTTGGTGGTGTAGACTAGGCTTTCAATCCATTTTGTACACTCCAACACCTGGCCAGGTGTATGTAGAGGACGTCTAAGAACTACAGCTACACTGTAACATACCCTTGTACTTCGGCACATCACCACAGAACCTCTCTTCCTCCTCTGCGTTCCATTCCCAGCTTTCTTGGAAGGGGTTAAGCGCAAGTTTCATGATCTGAGGAAGGATCTCGCGCTCATTCTTCTTTTCGACGCGCTCGATGAGTTCGTCTAGGATCCAGGAGCGGGGGATGAACTGTCGTATCGTTAGCACCTCGTCTCTCATACACCGAAGAACTAATAAAGGGAAAACTTACGTTAGGATTAACCTTATCCATAGCAGCCTTCCTCTCCGCATCCATCCCCTGCCCCCAATCCTCCTTCACCCTCTGCGACCATTTCTCCAACCACTTCCCAATCCGCTCCCGCCCATCGCTCTCCTGCCTCGGCGCGTCATTGCTACGGAAGAACCTACCCGCAACATCTTTCCTCTGATCCTGCGTCTCTAATTCCGCCAATTTCACATTGCCCAACCGCCTAAACGCATGATGAAAATCCAGTTCATACATCTGCAGCGTATCCAACAACTCCGACATCAGATCCTCGAAATCACTCTCCTTCTGCGTCTTGAGTCCAAGGCGAAGCGTCATGAGACGGCGGTACTCAGCGAGGAAAACGGCTTTGTACTCTTCGCCTGCGCGGTCGATGGCGGATTCGCCGCATTTGACTATGCCGTCTGCTTCTTCTTCTGTTACGCCCTTTTCGACGAATTGCGCTTCGTCGACTTTGCTGCCCGCGCCCATGAGTTCGCCGAGGGCTTCACCGAGACGGACTAGGTTCCACCAGATGATTGTGGGTTGGTTGCGGTAGCTGTAGCGCAGCATGTGGTCGTCGTGGTTGGGCGTGTATGTCGGATCGAAGGTGTCCAGGAAGGCGAAGGGGCCGAAGTCGATGGATAGACCGAGGATGGAGGTGTTGTCTGTGTTTAGCACGCCGTTCATGAAGCCGTAGGCTTGCCATTTTGCGACGGTTTCGGCGTTGCGGCGGAGGATGGCGCGGTAGAGGCGGACGTAGCGGTTTTCTTCGCCTTCGTTCTCGCCTTCGACGGTTTCTTTGGGGATGCCGGTGTGGGTCTGGGAGTGGACTTCTTTGGCTTCGCCAGAGGGGAGCTTGGAGGGGAGCTTGTCCCAGCCGCCGTAGACGTGCTCGGCTGTGTAGTCTGCGATTGTGCGGAGGGTCTTTCGGTCTCCGCGGATGCGTTGGAGGTCGAAGGTGCCGAAGCGGATCCAGCTTTGCGCAAACCGTGTGACGATGGCTCCAGGCTCTGTGCGTTCGCGCATGACCTTGCTTCCGTTGTTCAGGGTAAGCGCCAGCGCTCTTGTACTAGGGATGCCAATGGCATTGAGGTATTCCGAAACGACGAATTCTCGAATAGAAGATCGCAGTACCGCGCGGCCATCAGCAAAGCGGGAGTAAGGTGTCCTTCCAGCGCCCTTCAGTTGGATCTCGTATCGTGTGCCGGTCGCTGGGTTGGTAGACTCAAACAAGGAGATGGCGCGTCCATCACCAAGTTGGCCTGCCCATTGTCCGAACTGGTAGCCTCCATAGCATTGTGCCCAAGGGTAGATTCCAGCTTCCGGGTTCGACTCGTCCCATGTCAGGATCTTCTTTCCAGCCACGACTTCCTTGAATTCATCCGTCTTGGCCTCCTCTTCCTTAAGACCAATGTCCTGCATCGCTCGCTGACTGACAGCTAACAGCTCTGGCTCTCCCTGCGAGTCAGGCCGAACATATGTGTATAGTGCTCCCTTGACCATGCGCGGTCCGAGCATCTGCCGTGGCGCATCGTGCGAGTCTTTCGGTCTAGGGAACGCGTCATCAGCGGGTAGATTGGATGTGAAGACGTTCGATTTGGGAAGCGACTGCAGCGTGTGCAGTTCATTGGTCGAGTTGCTCGCCGTCTGTGGGATATCGAGGTGCGCCATGACTTGATTGAGGCGCATAAAAGTGTGGAAGGGATTCTTGCAGATGTGTTTTGTCGACAATATCGCTTTCCTGGTAGGCTGCAGCGCAGTGGAGATTCGAAGCATGAGCTGCTAAGGGTATCAAGTGGTGTAGGAGGGAGGGGCGATGAGGGGAAGATGGCGGCACATATGGGCGCATTCGATGCTGATCGGAGTGATGCGAACGTTATGGGGCAGTGGCGTCATGCCTCGGACGAGCGGGCTTATCGATAAGGCAGTCGTGAAAACATCAGAACGTCGCGGTGCCTGACTCGCGCGTTTCTCTTGCGAACTAAATCGCGGACGCGTCGACATCTCCGCCAATCAGCACATCCTTCCTCAAGCAACGCATACCTTCACTCCTTACATATTCGAGACCAACGCTGGCCTCTTCACTATCACGATTGCATAATGAACGGCCAGCCAATCCCAGGCTACTTCTGGGACGCAGAGAAGAAGAAATACTTCAGGATCCAAAACCAAACTGCAGCCCAAGGATCAAATCTCAAATATTTCTCAGCAAATATCAAGAAGACGGAGCGAAAAGAGCGCATTCAGAATGTGGCACTTGCACGATCGAACAAGCTCAAAAAGGAGCGGGTCGTCAGACGCAACCCGAACAGCTTCGCCCAGACAAACATCGATAGAGAGATAGGCCTCGGAAGACGGTCACGCTATATTCACGGTCTTTGGCCTGACGCATGCGCAGCCGGCATTCAAGAACGTCCCGAAAAGGTGCTACCTCCATGTGGACTCCGACTCTTTGCCAAAGACCCAGTACATCACACGATATACACAGTCCAAGGTGAGAACAGTGTGCACAGGCAGACTGCAGATCGCGGGAGTCCCAGCGTCCCATCAGAGGATTACTATTCCATACCCAAGTCGTCTCCACTAAATCGTATCTATTCTTGGTATCCACGAGAAGAGGTAACGCGAACGACATCTACAGTCTCCTCGTTGTCCTTTCTACCAGCAACCGGCGCGCTTGCGGTGACGACGTATGGGTCTGATCGACCGCCAGAAGTATGGCTCAGCGACCCGGGACGCGATGATCCTGTAAGTCTTCCACAAACTTGTAACCCCACGCACGTAATCTGCTCGATGATGAACGGCCATATTCCATTTTACGTTTGATAGACCGAGTGATTTGAGTTACTCAGCGGCCATGCAGCACAACTCAGAACGAACGAGCTTTTCTACTCACTCCCACATCGTTTCAATCATTGTACAAAACTTTTACATCTTCCGAGACTCTCACGCTGACGCATGGTGACACAGTACGTAGGGCAAAAATTTACACCGAAAGACTGCTCAGCTATCTGGTGTGCTGCTGCCAGACCAACGACATTCACGGCATCACCAGGTCTCGCAAACAGTGTCGCAGCGACCTGGACCGAGCACCTCGCAGTTGCAGCCTCGAGTTCGATGCTACTGTTCACTCGCTCACAGGGAGGTGCCTGGGACTCTCAAGCTGTAATCAAGTCACTTGAATCTGATCTTCTGGCCTTGGAGTGGATATCGTATAGTACTGTCGCGCTCGGCTGTCGAGACGGAACTATCCGACTATACGACACAAGATCAGGGGGCTCAAGTCACGTCTTGACACATCCCGCGCCCATCTCAAAGCTCAAGCGTGCCGACGACGAGACTAGATTGATATGCTCTGGGCTTAACGACACGCTTTTCCTATACGACATTCGCGCACCCCGCTTATCTCGAAACTCATCGCGAAAGACGTTCAATTACGACAACCATCACTACAATGAAGAGTACTTCAAGACCTTATACCCCACTCATCGCGATAATCACAAACGCCGCAAGCTCAACCACAAAGCTTTCAAGAATTGGTCGCAGCCAGTTATGACTTTCGCCCACCTGAACAGAGACGAGCTAGAACTGGACATCGATGTATACCCAAGACTCGGACTTCTAGCAGCAGCTCAAGACACAACGGAAGGTACAGTGATCCGGATCAGCAACATCTGGACGGGTAAATCTGTTAAGGAGATTGATCCAGGCAGCACGCACCAGGCCAAAATCCGCGCACTCAAATTCATTGAAAGCGGCTTTGACGGCAATGTTGACCTTTGGTCGTGTTGGGGTGGTGGGATCGCGAAATTTGGGTGGTCACACAGTAGGGGCCTTTAGTTTTCGGCGCTCACCACAGACATTCTCAACATGCTGGCCTACGAAGACTTTGAAATGGTGTCAATGGATACATTCACGGGTCTGCCATTGGTGCGAGCGACCACTAAATCCACGAGACTGGAGCATGTCCATAGAGCCGCGCCGCGAGAACGCAATCACACTTGCACCGACGTGTGACAGTGCGACACTGGAATCGTTCAGAAACATTTGCTGCGATTATCCGCTGCGTCACAGTGAGCTCCGTCCAATCGCTCCCAGTGGTCACTAACGCACGTGCGTTCTCTGTCGTTTGCTCCTGCCTCGCACCTGCCCCGATTGGATCGCGCGATTCCCTGGTCATCATGTTGATCTCACAACAAGACGTGAAAGCCCTCCTCACTCAATAACTTCAGCGACAGACTGAAGAGGTTTGGCGAGATCTTCACAGCGTCGCGGGTGACATTGAGTGAACGCCTTCACTTTCACCAATTCACCGTCGCTCTCCGAACTACAGATAATCCCCGAGCGAGCGCACAACCCAACTTTCCGCACCAACCATCGATCTTTCCTCACCAAGAATCCCAGGATTACACTTGGCACAAACCCATTTGCAGAGTCCGAAAAGCCGCGAAGAAAATCATGTCGAATATCGATCTCGAAAAGTGCACAGCCACTTCCCCATCCACCAGAGCCCCCCCCAGTACCAGCCCCCGCACCCTCAACATCAAGATGTCGTTCCCAATCCTCATCTCTTATATCGGTCTCTACGTCGGAACCTACTACCTCAGTCCCACTGGCCCCGGGTCCGAGCACCGCGACGGCGACTCCGGACGTATACCACCTCTGGCGATCGTGCTCACGCTTCTCGGCCCTGAACTCATTCAAAAAGCTTTTGCTGTCATGACTGCAATTTCGAAGACAGAGTCTCCATGTTTCGGTTTCGGGTGGCTGGCTTATAGCTTGTCACTCTTATCGTCGGTCACGTCTGGCAGTGGTGATTTGATGCGGGAACCGGAGTGCGATGTGACGGTTCTGGACATGAGCACGGGGAAGAGACGGTTGAACAAGGATTTTGCTGTTGCGAGGCTGCTCCGTGATCTGGAGCTTCGCTGTGTTCCGCCCAGCATCGATGGCAAGTTTGACCAGGATAGCGAGGTTGTCGTCGAGGTCCTCCAACCCACTGGCACATCCTCAGCTTCCGCTTCCCTCAGGAACCTACTCCAAAGCGGCAGCTTGAGGACCGCAATCCTCCAATTCTGTCTTGCCGGCGCATTCTGGCTCTACTACGCCGACCTCTCGCCCCTTCTGCTACTCAGCATATCGATCTTGCTTATCGAAGCTACAGCCAGCCTACCCGTCTGGACTGCTCAGAAAAACGCTTCCCTTACCCGGAATAGTCAGAAAGGCGCGTACGCACTCATGCGCGACACCGACTCCCCACCCAGCCACATCTACATCATCCAGCCCTCGCCAACGGCATCCACCAAGGCCGACAACATGACCACACATCACGACACATCCACCAACGCCTTAAACCCCTGTATCGCACCCGCCATCCTCATCGCCGGAGCTTTCTTGAACCAAGCACTCCTTTACACCCAGCTCTCAGATAACGCAGCGAGTGCTATGCTGCTCATCATGTTCGTTGGTACGATTAGTAACCTTGCTATCGTTGCTGTGCCGCGCGTGCCACAGGTCGATGGTGTGAAACTGGGATCTGTTGGTGTGATGAAGGGGAAGGGCAGTGCTGTGGAGGTTTTGAAGGAGGTTGAGGCGGCGTTTGAGGGGTATGGAGAGGTACTGCTGAAGCAGTGTTTCCCTGAGATAATCGGGAACTGGGGGCGTGGGATCGAGAAGGAGAGGATGGGGGAGATGGATTGAAGACGTCGAAGCAAGAAATGGGCTCAGTCCCCCATGTACCGAATGTAGATCACCCCAGCCTAGCCGCAGCCTCAAGACCGAATACGAAGATTGACCTGCAGCGCCAAGAAAGCTAGGCTTCTCGCGGCCCGCAGATGATCACCAGCTAAACCGCATACCCTCATGGGTGTTGTCTCCGTCCGCCTTGGATTCTCTTGAAAGTTGTACACGCGCGTCTTGGCTGCTATGTGAAATGGCGGGTTGCGCTCCTCGTGGGCGGGTGATGTAGTGTCCAAGACTTGTCTAGTTGTATAAGTAGAGTTTTGGTGCATTGGACCCGCTGGTGATGTCAATTGGGAGGGTGGAGGAGTGGTATTTAGGTTGCTTGTTTTCCGAGTTGACGTGTCAACAGTTGTTCACTTTGTTCGGTTGAAACCATCATGAAGCTCACTCTCGCAACTCTTTCCATGCTCCTAGCAACCGCTACGACAGCATCGCCTCTTGCTCTCGAACCGCGTCAACAATGCAGTACATCCTGGAGCTACCCGTATACCGGCAGCGTAGCTCCCAGCAACTACAAGGCGTTTAACCTCGGTAGCTGTACTGCGCAACTCACCTTCAACAAAGACCGATACGTAGGAGTGCAATGGGCATTCGAAGCCATATACGCCGATGGAAGCCGCACTGAATTGAAGCCCTTCCGCGACTTCGACAGCTTCGGCGTCAGCGATACCTTCTACCCCTACCTTGGCAACAACTTCCTGACCAAGTACCCTGGGAACTCAGCGTTCACAGCTGTGCACGAGTTCAGCAGTGTTTGTAAGAACGAGCAGGCGCCTGTCTCATGGCGGTTCTACACCACGTCAGGAACGTCCAATGGGTGCTATACAACGGGGCAAATTCGCGCTGTCGGTGGTGTTTCGCGTCCGGCCAAGGTCGCAGGCGTATCTCTGCGCAGGAGCAATGATGCTGGAGACTTCCAGGTCAGCTGGTCGCCGGTATCCAGCGCGATTGCGTATTCCGTCATTGTGGAGTACCCGACTGGTACGGATGAAGTTGGCAATCCCTACACGAACGTGCGGGGTGCACGCGTACAGGTGAGTTCGTCAATCGTCTTCGAAGGGCGTTACTAATAGTCATGCCAGGGAAACTCGACTCAGATTGCGACTACCACGCGTAGACAGGATGTAGCGAGGAAGGCGATTGTTCATGCTGTCAACTCCCAGGGCGTTTGGTCGTTCACGAGCGATGTGCAACCAGTTGTGGCGAACTGGTAGACGCTGTTGTGCGATGTGATGTCAGATTTGAGACAGATGTGAATAGGAGCCACAGGGAGTCAGCGAGTCTTGCGTCGCAAATGTATCTCGTCTCGTCCAGGAATCGCGTGCGGAAAACATTGCCCGATCTGTCGACCAGGTCCCTGCTTCAGCCACGAACAGTCATAAGGCTGTTATCGCGTTCGATATGATTCGTGAAAAAAGACGACGGAATGTTACAGTACATCAGCAAGACAACAAAGTGCGGTGAAAACAATCAAAGACTGTTGACACGTGAAACGGCGGCCGACCGCACTGCCACATGGCAAGCGCGCCCGCTCCGGAAGAGCCGAGGCCAAAGCGCCAGGGTCGCGCGACAACGAATGCCATCTCCACACGGCTCCGCATTGTCATCGCATCATGCACGCCGTCCGCCATCCATTGCGCCGTTCTACTTTACCTTGTCTTTTGCTCCTGCCTGGCTGAATACCTTGTGCCTGTTCTTGAGGCACTCTCGCGCACCGCCACACCAATCAATGCGCCGCTCCCCGTTTATGGGGGCGCGATATCCACGCTCGTAATGTCGGACTCGGTTGGTAGGTTTATCTGGGCTGAGATGGGATGGAAGGAACTTTTGCTGATGATGGGGAATGTAGATCGAGTCTTCAGCCATGCGCTCAACACCGTCAACAAGATACGGACGGGGTCGCAGAAACCGCCGTCTGCGACCAGGTTACGCTTGTATGGGCTGTATAAGCAGGCCATGGGTACGTTGCCTCGAGGGAAATGATGAGGAGGGGGACTATGCTACGACCAGAGCTGACCAAAACAGAGGGTGATGTCGACGGGATAATGGAATGTCCAAGAGGAAATGACGACCAGTCGCAACGAGCACGGGAGAAATGGTATGTCACTTGGCGCATAGCACCATTCAAGTTCCTACATGGAACGCATACATGAACAGAACCTAACATTCCCAGGGACGCTTGGAAACAGCAGAACGGCCTCTCCCGCACCGAAGCCAAACGCCGCTACATCACCACCCTCATCGACACCATGCACAAGTACGCCTCCCCCTCGCCCGACTCCCGAGAACTAGTCGCCGAGCTAGAATTCGTCTGGGACCAAGTCAAATCCAACGTGCCCTCCTCATCCTCCTCCTCGCCACTACGTACCTCCGACCACATAACCCCCGGCTACTCCCAGCACGAACTCGGCCAAAGCGGCCGCGCAGCCATGAACAGCAGCAACGATATGGACCGTCCTCGAAACGAGTCCGAAGACCTCGAACGCCGCGCCGTGCCCCTCCGCGTAAAATCACCAATGTCGCAATCCGAAGAAGAGCTCGAGGAAGAAGAAGCGGAAATCGAGCGTGAAGGCGAGGTCTTCGTCGACGCCCCAGACTCGCAATATAACCCAACATCCTACCCCGATTACAACGACAACGACGCCCCCGACCTCGAAGACGCAGGCGTACAAACCGATTTACAACAGTTGATCCGCGCAGAACCTATACCTATCCAGACGCCCACTCCCGCGCCACGGAATAGAGGTATGGGCGTTTTGGGCAAACCGATTCAGATGCCCATACCAGGTTTCGGCAGCACACCCGCCCCCGCTGCTGGAAACGGTGCCGCAGCAGCAGCGAAAGACAGCTCCCCAAAAGAATCAGTCGCAGACCAGAAATGGAGGAAACGCGTTGAGCAATCGCTCATGAAGATGACGGCTGAAGTCGCCGCCCTGCGCGAACAATTAGAAGCAAGAAGGCTCTTTGCACATTCAGTACACTATCAGCTTTTCAGGGGCGTGTGGAGATGGGTATGGGCGTGCTTCAAGCACATCGCTGTTGATGTGTTTATACTGGGTATAGTGCTGTTGTGGATGCGGCGGAAGAAGGATAAGAGGCTGGAAGGGGCGATACGCGTGTTACTTGGGGATGCGGTGGCGCAGATGCAGAAGGGTGGGGGCATGGTTTTTGGAAGGTTTAGGTTACCGCTTTTAGGGCGAGCGAAGAAAGGGGGGATAGCAACGGCAACGTGAATTTTAAGATGTTATGATCGAAGGTGTTGTGGTGACTGTGGATTCGTCATGTATGGCAGATCAGATTACCACTGACAGCGAGGATACCGGGGCAACACGACAACACTTTGCGAACGGAGACTCGCTCTACCGTTTTCTCAGGTTCGAGCTCGATATTCTTGAGTGAGTTACGTTTGACTCTGGGTTAGTGCGACAGGTATAAGCCTCGCGGTATATATGGTAAGATTTCGTTAATCGGATTTGGCACGGATTATCACTCGATGCTTTGATTCCGCTGACAAGAGTTGGTTTTATTCCTCGATATAGATCTACCAGCTGTAGCAGCTATCTTTTTATTAAAGACCAAGATCTGAATCATACCCATATCACGAAGGCCACTCCATCGCCACACGTCGCCTATCACAAACGACCATCGCAGACTGAACCTTTTTCGAATCCACCTCTGAGGACAACCTCTTCCCAGTGAGTGGACTCACATACTCGACTCAAAAGCCAGCCTAAGGACACTTCCACCCACACTTATCCCGGCAGAAGTAGAAGCTCGCCTTGCAAGTCTCAGCACGGCAAGTTGTATCGCAAGTAGCTGGGTTGAACCAGCAGGGCCAAGACTATTATCATTATCTCTCGTATTAGTTTCAACAACTTCCCGCCGGGATTTGGGGAAAAGGGTAATCGACACTTACACGAAGGCAGTGCTCGAATTGATCTTTGCACTGGTCGCAGGTGGGGACTTGGACGGGCGGTAAGGTCTCTTGGGGGAAGGCGATGGGGGCGGCGATGGGGCTGGCGGAGGGGGAGGTGATGGGGGTGGCTGTTGTGAGGGCCGCGAGGGCGAGGATGAGGGGGGTGGTGAAGTGCATTGTTGGTGAGGTGGGTGGGGGGTGGTGCGTTGTTGAGGAGATTGGGTTGGGGGTGGATGGGGAGAGGGAGTTTCTTGGAGCAGCGGATCGTGGGGTTTTTATACAGCCAGGGCTGAAGGAGTTACGTTAGGCAGCCGAAGGGTTGGATGACTTTCATGGATCACCTGGGGAACTGATCTGCGTGGCGATATACGAATGTTGGTAGTGAAAGAATGGGAGGCTTGATATGATGAGTGGGGTAAGGGTGTGAGATTGGTGCACGGGTGGTGAGCCCTTCTACGCATTTTTTATGTCAGGGGCGTTTATAGCTGTAGTAAGGATGAGCACGTATTCTGTATTCATCTAGTTGGTGTTGCAAGCAACGATGTATGTAAGGATGAGTACATATCCCAACAACCACATATAAGCATCGCTCTCCACTGCAACCCGGTACCTCAGACTTCCATACCATACTTGCTAACTAGCTTTAGTTCCATCCCTCCTCCACCAAGTATACCCTAGAGCCAATGCCCTCTCACACCCACAAACCCCAGCCTAAGGGCACTTCCACCCACAGTGCTCCCTGCACGCAGCGTCATTACGACAAACGTCGTTGTGGCAAGTGATAATACACATCCTCGGATTGATCCAACAGACCCAAGTCTATTCCCACACACACACACGGTTAGTTCAAATCACGCTAGAAGAAATGGGGAAAGGGGGTGTGTACCTTCTGGCAGTCCTCGAACTCCTTGTTGCACTTGTCGCAGATGGGGTCACGGGCGACGAGCGGGTTTGCCGCGGTGATGGCGTTGGCGTTGGCGGAGGTGACGGGGTTGGCGGTGGTGAGGGCCGCGATGAAGAGGATGAGGGGGGTTGTGTATTTCATGTTTGGTGGGTGGGTTTGGGTTGGTTTCGTGTGTGGTGTTGTGTGTGGTTGAGGAGATTGTGTCGATGGTGGATAGAGAGAGGGATGTTCTTGGGGCAGCGCATTGGGTGTTTATATGCACCTTGGGTGGTGGTTTAGGTAGCGATATTCCAATATGGTAATGAAAGAATGTAAGTGTTGATACAGATTAGTGGGTGGAGTAAGGGTGTGGAATGGACGCATGGGCGAGGCATTTCACGCGTTCGAAGCACATTTATGTCAGGGGCGTTAATGCATGATTGTATTAAGGATAAGCACATATTCCAACGAGCACATATCCCAACATCGGCACGCAAGAATGAACTCAGGAATGTAGAACTATGTGTAAGAATTACTACATGTAAGGGAAAAGAAATTACACGTAAGGACGGCTACATGCAAGAATGACGTAACATACAGATGAACACAACAACTCAGAAGCTCACTCCGCAGCTTCCTACTGAACGGCTAAATATATCATCAAGAGCGACATTAGAATCAGTGGCGATCTTGCTACAACCAGAGAAGATATACCAACCTGTTCTCTGGCGAGTCTGTTTGTACCTTTTGTCATTCACTTGAGCCCTTACAACCCACCCGAACTCGTGAGCACTCTATGATCCGAATCCAGCCGTTCTTCATTCTCTCGCGCTCGAGGCCTAGGCCTTAACCAAAATCTTGTCTGGACTTCGAGTCGCATGTGGGTCACATCAGCTGACCACGGTAACATTGCCTTCACTTCCGACTATCGGCGACGTAGCTGTGGATGTATCGGAATGATTGATCAGCGGAGTCGAATGCAGACAGGCGAGAGATTGGATAAATTGAAGGAAGCTAGGAATGAATTGTCCTTATCTGAACGCGACTAAGGCCCTCACAGTAGAGAGATGTTAGAAGGCTCATGTCAGGCGTGGAGAAGAACTTCTACACGCGTCACTTTTGCTCAGATACATTCACATACACATCCAGGAATTCAGTAAGTGTAGGTGTGCAGTTGACATTCATCTTTAGGTAGAGTTACCAATGACGTATCATGCCACCAAATCCCGACCATGTTCAGTTTCCCATATTCGCAATGATGACAGGCATTCAGCCAAGACAAATTCTCATCCCAGCCTCCATGCTACCCGTTGCCTTGCATGCCTCACTGATGTTCACCCACTGCCGTGATACCCGAGATAGATATCTTGAACGGCATTGGCACCTAGGTAGTGGTGCAGATAGCATGAGGAGTGCACTCATCGCCGCAAGCAACTGTCTCGCCTGCAGGTACGTACTTGCAGATGTCCTGGCGGTTACAGTCGTTCACGCACATATACCATTCAAAGTCTTTCTGCTTGCGGTCGTTGAGTTTGTCCTTGCAGACGTCCTATTGAACTTAGTTTCTGGGCTGAGCACCAAAGAACACGGGCTCGGGGCTGTGACAACTTACTTTCTCGCAGTGTTCAAGGCTGTAGATGTCGCACTTCTTGCACAGAACGGATTCTTCCTTCTTGCCGCCGCCGGCGAGGACGAGGGTAGAGGCAGCTGCCATGATGATGAGGGAGAGCTTCATGCTTGCGAGTGGGCTGATGTTGATGGAGTTGTTGTGGTTGATGGATTTTGTTTTGTGGTGAGGTAGACGTTGAGTGTTTTGAGTGTTTGATTGTTGGTGGAGGAGAGAAGAGGAGAGAGGGAGGATGGGCGGGATTATATACTGGTGGGGAGAGCAGGGAGAGGCGGAGCTCTAGAAACCTAGATGGGTAGCTGCGTAACTCGCGGTGAGGGAGCGGCGACCCGCGGTGAGTGAGAGATACCTAGATAACGCGCGGTGAGGAAGCGGAAGCTACTTCGCAGCTGCTGGAGTTGCCGCAAAGCCGAGAGTCAAAGGTCTAGGCCCAGCCAATCTCTCTCACCTGAGATAGGCCATGGGTATTGGCGAATGCGTTGTCAGTAACGGAATGTCTGAGTTACCGGATAGTGGCGGTTTCGTGCGTGGACAGCAAGAGCTTCTTGATTAGAGAAAAGCAGTATCATTAGCCTACGAGTAGGTGGAGAGAGTAAGACTGAAACATCTCGTTAGTCAGGAACGACATTCTCTCGGTGAAGCGTAACCAAAATCTCGTATATTCTGCTTTACCAGCCATCAATGCGCGTCGTCGTCACAACCAGTCTAGTACATCCATATCCCATGAGACTGCCAGCGCAAAGCATTTCGAAAGTGCATCGCCCCATTCCGGTTACCGCTCCACCCCGTCGAGCTGGTCTCAATTTCCCGTAACGGTTGGATGATCATTCCCCGGGCGGAACGAGGAAGGTGGGTTTTGGGTGCTTAGGTTTCTCAATCCATCCATTACAGTTCAAGTAGTCATACTGGGCACACCAGTTTACACACCAATCGCCAATTGTGCCTGATTTGCACACATAAGTTTGGCACTGCAACGAGCACTCCTCGTTGAATATGAACGAAGGGCAACGATCCTGTGAGTTATGTCAGCAACTGGGTAAGTTTGTGTTGGAACTGGAGGACTTACGGCCATGCATCCGTGATACATTTCACGGCAGGTGTCGCACGAGTGCGAGAATTCGAATTGGCTTTCTGAGGCGAGAGCGGCGGTGCTGAGTGCTGCGATGATGATGGTGGTGATCTTCATGTTGACAAAGATGTGGTAGATGGGTCTTGTGGAGGGTTTGAAGATGGGCCGGGTGGTAGTGTTGGTGTCGAGTTGAAGGGAGGGAAGACGACAATTCGATTTTTGAGTATGTACGCATTATGTATGCTGTGTCTCTAGGCGAGCATGCTGGAGTATCTGCATTGGCACTCACACGTAGTGGTAGCGTCATTGGTGCCCAACAAGAACTCGCCGTGGAGCATACATCATTGGTGTGGAGTCTCGTCACAACAGTTATGAATGCTGGTCTTTTTCCACCTCGTTTGCTGATTACCGTTGGTGCCAGAGTTTCGCGTTCGAGGACCCCATTCGTATCACAGGGACGCTGCTCTCGTGACAATGAAGTGGATCCGCATTTGGTACCATTGTAGATTGCAGTCTGATGAAGATTTATCATTGATGGATGATGACAAGGATGCTTCTAATCACCGAGATCTAATCGCAGGAGAGATGATTTCTTGAGGCAATCGCGCATCCTACCAAACCCAATCGTTACACATCCGCAGTGCCCCTAAGACATCCAGAACAATTCGCGTATGAATACCAGATAGCCTCTCGTTCTCCTATAAGCCATCCCACGCCCTTACGCATGATGATGCCAATGCGGCTCCCCGAACTTATCGAAAGTCACCTTGCACTGACGCCGAACACACGGACCATAATGATTTTCCATCAACTCTACGCATTTCGCCTGACTCTCGTAGAACTGAGGGATATCGGTTGGCCTGTCCAATTCCCAGTTATAGCTATTCACGTATTTCTGTTGGGGGTTGGGTTAGCGATCTACAAGTGTGTGTGGGAAAGTTGATGGGGAGAGGAGAAGGTACGTACGTCCATGCATTCCATGTATCTGACACCGCACCAGAAGCAAGTGCTGGGCGCTGTAAGACCTTTTAGGGAGCCTCTGGGCATGGCACCGCTTGAGGTAGGGACGTCGTACAGGGGAGGCGCGGCGAGGGTTGCGGTGGTGAAGAGAGCGATGAGGGCGGAGGTGAACTTCATCTTGGTGACTGATGGGTGTGGATGTTGGGGTGTTCTCTTCAGATGCAGATGGATCTGCAGTGGGAGATATATATTCTTTTGCCGATTAGTCCACATTGGTGTGGATCTACCATCCTATAACTAACATCCAGGTCATCCACCCGTGCTGCGATAACGCAGAGCGAGCAGCGGGTCATTCCCAATTTCTGCAACACATGACATCCCATATACCAAGTCCTTCCGCAGAAGAGACACCACAAGCATCAAAGACTCGGTCTTACGTAGTCGATCGTAGAGGGTGTTGTGGTGAAGGATGGTAGATGAGGCGGGTCTCTCCATCTCAACAACAAGTATCCTCCGCACCACATGAATTCTTGGAGCAGGACAACGGTATAACTTCCATCGGCACGAACATGAGTATCGGCGCGTGATGCGCAAAGCTGCGGTCGGTTGAGAAGTTCCGACGAATGGCCGGGATGGCATGGTGGAACTGTGGGGCTGAGCCATGATTTTACAACCAGGCAACACATTTTATCAGCAAAGTTCGTGAGATGCGAACATAGTCGCCTTCCAGTAGCGCATGAGTTTGAGAGATAGTAGCCACGCGGAAAGATAAGGTCAAGCAACACGCTTTGTTAGCCTCTAATCTATAGATACATCATCTCACACCTTTTCCCCCGCTAACTCTCGCTATCCACCCCGTTGTCACCCGGAACACAACTCTCTGATCCTCAACATTATCGAACAACGTTTTGGAAGACTCCACAGGCTCTGAATCACCGTGGTTTGGCTGGCGCGTCTTATCAGGCACGTACCATACACCCTCTCTAGTCTGGACCCTGAGACCCCACCAACGGTTCCAGCTAAGACCAGACTTCGTGGGGTATACCCGCTCGTTCCTATTGCTATTTGTTCTAGCCATGGTCGGTCTAGAAAATCCACGATGTAAAGACGGAGGTGTGAAAATCTGGCCGACGCTCTTCAGTTTGGTGCTGGAACAGGCGTGGGCCGCAAAAGTGGGTCCAATTAGTCACCGGGCACGACGAAGATACGGCGTTGAGATCTGCGCTTTATCGTCAGTGGCCTGAATGCCACATCAACCACGCACGCGATGGTTATTTCACGACGACGGGCTATCCTTGTTCATAGGCGGGCTACAACCGCCCATATTGGCGTCTTCATCGTTAACGACAGGCTCGTTGTTCACAGCTACGGTGGGAGTTTCAGGAGCTGGAACACTCGGTTGCGCAGCATTGCCCGATTGTTGTTGCTGATAGGATTGCTGAGGTTTCTCCTGGTCTCAACCGTAGATGCTGTCAACATCGCTATCGTAGTCGTTGTTGTCATCGCCTCCTAGAGTTTGCGAAGTCTGATCTCCGACCGCATCTTCATCTTGCGCTGCGGGCCTAGCTGGCAGTGTTGTCGCACTGAGCTGTGGCAACGGCTTCTGTGGTACACTCAATCCAGACAAGGGTAGTAACTGGGCCCGGAAGTCTGACGCTGACTTTGGAGTGTATCCCGCCGCAGGCTGTGTCGGGTCGTAAGCCGGCGGAGTAGTCAATGAATCATTGGATTTCCCGCCCGCCGAAGGCTGCATGGGCATGTACGCGGGCGAGGCGAGCGGGGAGTTTGTAGTCGCTGTGCCTGCTGTAGGCTGTGCACGATGGCGGGCGGATGCCGGTTTGAGCAAGCTTCTTGCGTTCGATAGTGCAGCGTCGGGCAGCTTCATGGCTGGGTAGCTTGGACTTCGAGGAGGCGGTGTTGCATTACCGCTTTGAACGCGTGGTTTGCTAAGGTTGCCGAGAGTCGGTATACCTGCATAAGGGGACGTGCTGTTCCTCTTTTGCAAAGTAACTGGGTTATACGAGCGTGCGTAACCTCCCGGTGCGAAACCACCTGCTAGAGGTGAAGGCGGTGGCGGCCTGTCATACGAAAATGGGGAAGTAGGATTCGAGCTTGGCGTCGACGGCGCGTTGAGTGTGCTTTGTGTACTTGGGCGAGTCGGAAGACCAGAATTAGCAACCGGAGATGGTTGCGCCAGCGACGGGGTTGTCGATGTGGTGTTGGTCTCCTTCAGTTTCTGGAATACCGGAAGGTCCAAGACCTTTTCCACATCGTTCTTTTCAAAACGAGCTTCTTCCTCAGTATCAAATGAGATTGGACCTCTGAAGCGGCCCTTCTTCGGAGTACCAGCTCGTGCACCTGAACTCTCCTTCTGGGGAGTTGCTGGACCATCTGGAATCTTTTCCGATGCTTCTGAATCTGAGTCATCAGAAAGGTCTCGTGTTCTCTTGGATGCTTTGTTCAGTTCATCCAACTGATCCTTTTCCACTTCTTTGGCAAGCTTGTCCAGTTCATCGTCATCGATTTCGCCTGACAACGCGCTACCATCGTCAGAATCAGCTGGCGAGGGATCACCTCGAGGTTCGGCACCTTCAGCATCCGGATCAAACCATGCCATCAGCTCCTGTGCAGCCTTGTAGTCGTCGTGGCTTTTTCCTCGCATTTCGTACGTGTCCATGGGAACCTCTCGGAAGATCTGGCCTTGTCGCCCGGTCAGTTCGTCTAGCGACTTCATGCCGGCTGATCGGTATTCCGCATGTTCGGGGTTCTCCACGATCTTGCGGTCCTCCCGAAGTTGTACCAAGCGTGTTCTCGGTCTGACACTTGTGAACTCATCTGGGTGTTTGTATTCATGTTCAGCGTTATCCGGAGCTTTGTTGAAGTCACTGTCCCATGCTCGTTGAGTTCCCAAACCTGGCAAGAGTTGTGCTTTGTCGTTGTTGTCAGATTGATCATGGTCGAGATTGACATTCGAAAGCCCGGCGATGAGTTCCTCGTCGTCTTCAGCAACTCCGTAGTCTTCGAGATTCAAGTCGTCTCCGTGTATTGGTGGCGGTGAAGCTAGATCATCTCGTGCCGGCTCCTGATCGTCTCCAGATGCGTCTGCAGCAGCGGAACCGATGATCTCTTCATACGACGCATCGTCATCCTGTTCGGCTTGCGTAGCATCCCCAAATGCGGCACCCCAGTTCACCTTTGAGAATGAGGATGGGTCAAACGCATCTGGCGCATCCTTAGTAGGCCCAGCAACAATGATCGATGGCTGCTGGGTCGGCAGAGAAGACTGATCGCCAGCGTTTCCAGTAAAATCATCGAAACTTTCCCCGTCGGTTGGGTACTGCTGAGGTTCAGACATGGGAGGTGGAATCTCGATAGGCCCATTCTGCGCCTCATACGCATCAATATCAGCGAATATGTTTTGTTCTGCCATTTCACCGTATTGCTCATCCTCAGGAGACAGATACAGGCTTGTTGGTATTGCGTTGTGTTGTTCTAGTCCCTCGAGAGGTACCAGCTGTCTCCTCATGTCATCAGCGGTGGTGGTTGGCGTTTGCTCATTATCGAAGCCAGAGTTAGCGATCTTGTCGAAATCGATGCCGTCCAAGTTGATGTTTTCCAGATTGATATTGTCCAAGTTGATATCGTCCATGTTGCTGTTGTCCAATTCGAGATCGTCCAAATTGGTATCTTCCAAATCGACATTGAATAGGTCGGACATATCAACGTCTCCATCGTCGTCGGCCGTGATAGTAGCGTCAAGGGCCGCATGCGTAGTCATAGGAGTGTCAGCAAGATTGGAAGCTTCGGGATGTGCGGATGGGTCGCCCTGGTTACCGTCGTCGCCATTATCCATCTGATCGTTGGTGTCAGCTTGGTTGTTCAAAGTCTGACCCTCATCGTTGTCATGTTCATGGGGATCGCTCTCACCGTTCTGCCCCTCGTCGCTCGAAGAAGCCTCGTCGATCCCCTCCATAGGTCCTGAGCCAGCTGAACCCGACGGCGATGGAGGATTCGTGCCTCCACTACCGCTGGATGGATCGAAAGGAGCGGGTGGATCATCACTGCTGCCTCCGCCTCCGCCTCCATTTCCACCGCCGCCGTTTCCACCAAAAGGACCACCGGGGCCAGGCGGCGGATCTCCACCACCACCACCAGCCCTTCGAGCCGCAGCTTCACGCTCTCGTCTCATTATGGTCAACATACTAGGACCTCCTAGCAACCTGTTACGCCACTGTTCTGCGGAGTCTGGATGTTTTGGGTCTGTGGGACGAGTGGCAGGCCGGTTGTAGATGGCAGGAAGGGCGAATTGCGTATCAAGTTCCTCTTTTGTGAACATAGGCGGCTCAGTCCTGCTGGAAGGAAGCGAGCTGAATGGGGCCCAGGGACGACTATTTGCCGTGCCGGGAGCTGGGTGTGAGAGTAATGTGGGGGCAGTTTCATTAACACTGGTCGTGGGCGTAGCTGCTGGAGCGTCGTTGTTGATACCTCTAATTGGCACATCTGTTGGCGAAAAAGGTTCCTTGTCGGGTTCAGGATTGGCATGCTTTGGGGCGGCAGGTACTGTCGTATTGCCCGAATCATTGTCATCTTCACCATCGCTGTTGCCATTATCGTCATCATCGCCGTCGCCAGGCGCGGGTGCTCCACCAGAAGCAACCTCCATAGAAGTCAAGGCCTTCTTCTGCTCAGCTTCTCTTCGCACCTCCTCGCGGTACTTCTCAAGTGCTGCAGCAATCTCGGCATCTATAGGGCTCGCTGGCTGTAGCGGAGCTGATGTGCCTATCGTAGGACTCCCACCGAAATCGAACTCTTCTTCAACTTCGTTTTCGTCTTCCTCTTCCTCTTCGTCGCTTTCTTGCACACCATCATGCTCATCGTCTTGCGTGTCTTCCTCTTGTTGATCTTGCACTGAACTAGCGGCTGGGGCTTGGTGATCCGGGGCATTGACGGGGTCTGGAGCAGGGTCCTTGGTAGGCGTGCGCTTGGCGGGTGTAGCGAGTTCCGTCATCTCAATGGGAACAAATGTCATGGGCCTATGTCCTCCTTGCGTCTCAGATTCTGGCGGGTTGACTACGATGGAAGGAAGATCGAACGTGATGTCAAGCGTTGACTCAGGCTCAGTAGTGTCTGTGGCAGGCTTCGGTATATCAGTAGGCGTAATGACGGGAGTAGGTACGATCAAAGAATCGGAAGAAATAGCTGGTATTGCAGGAGTGGCGATAGTTGGGAGAGTAGTCGTGGCTGGCGGAGTAGGCTCAGCAGGAACTACTGGCAGGGGAGACGCTGCGGTCGTGGGAGTGGTCGTTGTCAGAGGAGTAGGCTCGAACAGAGGAGTACGTTTGAACGCGGCAGCTGGCGTGAGGGTGCGCAGTGATGCTGATGTATCAGCAACCACCGGTATCGCTGGTACCTGCGCCGCAGGGGCTGGGATAGCTTCAGTTGCGGTCTCTGACGTGTTAGCCGGGATTGCTTCCTCGGATTTCTCAGCTTCAACAGCAGCCCGGTGCTGTTGCTCAGTCTCTGTAGGCTGAGATATCATCGAAGAATCAGCAGCCGGACTTTCGCTGGCGTCGTTTGACGATTGTGTCTCTTCGTGCTCTACACCGCTCCCCAGGCCAGATTGCTCTAGGAAGTCCCTGTGCTCCTGCTCAGCAGCAGCCCTGGCGGCCTCGATAGCACTTTCTCTTGCTGTGCGCGCCGCTTCACTGTCGAAGAGCCAAGTCATCCAGCGCTGTAGCCAAGGAAGAGATGCGTTTGTCTGTGTCCATGCATCTGCAGTGGGCGTCTCAGTATGAGCCTGAGCCTGGTCCGGTGTCTCAATCGATTGCTCCCGTGTTGGCGTTCCCACGGGAGTCTGTACAGGCGAGGCCTGTTGTTGAGTGCGCAACGCATCTACCTCATCTGGAAGCCCTGACAAGTCTTCATCCAAAAGATCAACTGCTTGACTGTTGCTGGGCGTCTGTGGTGCCTGCGCTGGCTGTGCGTCTGGAGACTGGTTGGTAGTATCATGTTCTTCAATCAAGGGGTCTCTCAGCTCTGACTCTCCGGCCTCGTTGGCAGGGATGGGAATTTGTGCTGCGGGAGGACTTGGCGGTGCAGAGTCAGGGGCCACAACTTCATCCGGCAGGTCAGGGAGCGGTTTGTGGGAAAATTCTCGGGCTGCGATCGGGCCCGGCCGCCAGTAGGCTAGAAGTAGAAGTATGACAAGAACAGTCGCAAAGATGATACCGTAGTCCTGAGTGCAAGCAAGGACCCCGTTTGTGCCTAGGACGTACATAACCATGAAACTAGTTGCGAATGTGAAAGACGACCGGACCTTATGCGCGGGATATGCTTGAGCGGCCATGATCCAGCCTACGGTACATACACTGGTGACTGCGATGATCGTCGCAGCACGCCATACCCAATGGTAAGCTAGGCCTTGGCACCAATTGCTGAGGCAGCGTGTACCCACGGAAGATACGACCGGTTTGATTTGTGCCATGTACAACAAGCTCAGATTCATCGATAACCTTTCGAATGCTGAAGAAGTCGTTTTCTGGGTGGCTGTAATGAAACTGGAGGTAGCATTCCTAACGGACTTGGTAGCCCATGCCGGCGAGAGGGAGAGGGCAGTGGGTATACGAGAGCTCGTAACCCTTTTCGTCGAGGTAGTAGGGTACACATAAGAGCTCGTTGCGCGTTCCCGCGAAGTTGTAGTGAGTTTGTGAGCAGGCGTAACCCAATTCCGTAGAGCTGTCGTGGTTACAGCAGTCCATGAAGTCGACCCCTTAACTGGGGCTGGAATAGACGCAGCGCTAGTAGTAAACTCCTTCACTGTATGAGCAGCTGCATCCGACGTCCTTTCAGTCCAAGGCTGTATGGTATGCCAGATCCCAGTGAAAAGAGACTGGAACAATGGTATGAATGCATACGTCAATGCCCAGAGCACGAACAACCCAACGGCTGGGCCAGCCCATACTGGTAGCAACCCATATACTGTCCGGGGACCGAGCATGATTGTCGCGAGCACCCAGCGAATAGCCTCACCGACAGTCTCTGGGTGCCACGGGAAGACAGCGCGACCTCTGACGATGAGCATGAACTTGTACTTAGCCCAGGCTTTTACAACCCGGAGTTTCGCTATAGAGATTCGAGAGACTTCGATGATGCCGTCCACGAGGGAGTCGACATAGGAGAGACCCACAAGCTTGAGCACGACAGCAAAATGACTGAAGGGTGGGGCAACGCCGCCTCTGAAAAGTCTATCAGCGCACGAAGATGGCTGGTCTATGTGGGTGAGGACGTATACTACTACTGCAATCGCAGCGTAGCATCGTATCCAGGTTCGCGCGGCGATGACTGATCGGTATGAGCCGCCAACCACGAGGTTCAATATGGTGAAGATAGTGTTGCGCGCCTCTTCGTCATAGATGGAAAGGAAGTGTGCCGCTAGCACACTGGCCAAGATAACAACCAAGTCCTGGACGTAGACACTGAGCCAGATGACAGTCATCACAACAGTGAAGCCGATGCAACAACGAATTAATGTCTCTTTCCGGTGCGGGATGGCAGCAGGCGCGCTGGCGGACAGATCCTGGGTCTCAGACTTGTCTTCATCCTCGCTTAAATCGCTTTCATCTTCTTCGTGGTGAATAACTTCGCGGGTCCTTCGTCCGGCGAAAAGGAGGAAATAAATCGCGATACCGACGAGGGTGGCGTACAACGCCCGGTCTATGATGAAGTGATCGGCTTGCTGCTTTCCCAGGAAGTTGGCTACTGCTTTCTGCCACACGTTGTAGGAAACGGATCCGATGCTGCGTGCGTATGCTACAGGTTTGGAGTATGGCAATGTTGGCAAGCGGAATTCCGCGTAGGCGAGATATCCAACGACAAACATATACGCATTGCGCACCACAAATGCCACCATTTCCTGAATGTCCGGGTCATCCTTATACAGATGGTCGCATACGGCGAACAGAATGGATGGCACATATCCCACCATGATATCCGCCATAGTGATAGGGCTACTGTAGTAGGACGGCTTGGACGGCTTTTGATCTGCTTGCTGTGCGACGTAATTCTCATGAATCGCTCGTCCAAAGTCAGTCCAGCGTGAGAGTTGGGATTTGGCGAATGACGGCGAATCTTGAAGTGGTTTGCTAGCCGGCTTTTGTCTATAAGGTGCAAAGGCTGGCTTGCGTTCTCTCGGCGTAACGGCGCTGTCCTTGGTGCTGGACACAGGTGCACTGGGAAGTGTCTTACATGACGACGAGTCTTGGAATGATTTCCTAGCCGCCTTTTGTCTGTAATGTGTAAAGACTGGCTTATGCTTTGTTGTCTTAGAGATAGTGCTCCGGGTGCTTTTGCTAGCCGCATGTTGCCTATAATGTGTAAAGGCTGACTTATGTTCTTTGAGACCAGTGTCAATGCTTGCAGTGCTAGATAGGGGAGCACTGGAAACTGTCTTCGTTCTCTGCGGAATGGTAATGGTTTCAAACGAATAGTCTATGATCTCATTGAACGACTGTGAGGTAACCGGTAATTGTTCAACCACAACTGGAGACGTGGTCCAGGAAGGCACCTTGCCAACGGTGGGGGACCCGGTCGATGTGACGTCTCTGGGTGTATCGCTGATGGTCGATTCTTTCGATGCCGCGGAGGATTGCGAGCCGTGTAGAAGCCTACTCATCCGGGCTTTAAAGCCTGTGTTTGTAACATTGGAAGAATTTGTGCCCAATACTGACGGTACCTCATGAACAGGATTGCTCTTCTCAGTAGAAGTACTCGTAGTCTTTGCTAGTGAACGCTCTGGACTCTTGCTAGATACCTCCGGAAATGTATCTCTCGGAGTACTAGGTTTCCAGGAGATTTGCGAGGAGCTGCTCGCTGTCGAACGAGCAGAGCTTTCTGTGGCAAATTCAGAGGTGTCCTGGATTGATTCGGAAGACGAGGAAGTGTTCAAAACTTCACCCTTGGCTTGCTGTTCGACAGTGAGGGCTGTGTTGCAAGCGGGTGAGACAGAATTTGTGACGGTGATAACGGTAGGACGGCGAACTTTGGTAACTATCGATACCACGATGTCGGCTGCGTCTTCGGTGGTATGGGCGGGTTTTGTAACGCGAATCGTAGAAGGAATGGGTTTCTGATACCAAACCTTGGCCTGCTCAAAGTTTGGTATGTAATGCGGCACAGCAGCAACGACTGCACCTGCAGCGTAGATACCGGCTGCTACTTCAGGATGCTGGCCCCACAGGTGCGCAAAGGCTTGTATTACAGCGCCAGGAAGGGCGTCCATGGTAGGCGATTTTGCTGGTGCGTCTAGAAACTGTGTGTATCGTTATCGTACTCTCGAGGGTGTGACCACATATGGTGCAATATCATGAGGGCGTGCCTTGTTGAGATGGGCGATGTATGGAGTGTCTCAAACCTGAGAAGACGGCAGACATGTAGCTGATGAGACAAAGCGTCCTCTCCAGGTCGTACAAGACAAACAGAATTTCGAGTGAAAGGCCGCCACCCTAGCATCAATGTGAAGTTCACATTGCCTTTGTCCGCCGAAAGAGAAAACTTCGGCGTTGTTGTGAGAGACAAGACAATGAAACCAAGAGCGTGCACTTCAAGAGACCAATGCAGCATTGCAACATGAGCGTAATTTTCACTCAGATGTGGCTCGGCGCGCCAAATGGCGATCCAGTCATCGGTGTCAGGGTATCGAGCCAGAATAAGGCCTTCGTCACTGGCAGAGATTATCATGCGCTCACTAGCCATGAAGCCTGCGCATGGTCGGAGACGATGAGATCAGGGGAAACACGTGAAGCCAGCGTCGAGAAGGGATACGTCCGCGATCACAGACATATTGCCTCATGACGTGGGCCTGTGTGTGACGGCGATCAGTTCCCATGCCCTTCCACCGATCTGCTCGGCGCTCTGCTCTTCCACAGTCCATCCGGCAAAGCATGCCTTGTAGTCATCCCAATCCGATTTGGGGCCTGCCCATATCACTCTGTCCACGCTGTCCTGGCCATACTGTGCAAGGTATTCGCGTACTAGCCCAACGCGTCGCGGGTATACGAAAAGCCATGTCGTAGCCTCCGCTGCGAGCGGCTCAAGAAAACGCGTGCCGTGAACGATGCGATGGTTTGAGGAAGGCAAGAACTTGTTCGAGCTTGGTTCTACTTCGACCCCTATAACGTCGTACGCGTAGGGTGTGGTGATGAGATAGCTTTCGAGGAGACCGAAGCCGCTTCCGACGGATAGAGCAAGCGCGGGAGGATGAGGAAGGAGCGATGCGAGGTAGGCAATGAGGGTTTCGCTGAGAGCTAAACAGCATCCCGAATAGGCTGTCGGTGAAGTTGTGAGTACTGGCAGTTCCGCGACATCTTCTACTGGGTTTGATGCCTCATTGTCTGACGCGTCCACATCCGGCTGGATTGGTGGCAAGCGCGCCTCGAGGCCCATGATCAGCACGAGAACAATTGGTCGCTAGGGCAAATACCAATATACATTGGGGACGTATAAACGCGATGCTCATACAGTTCGGGTCCGCCGTGAATGTGAGTGATGACAGAGGGCTTGACCGGGATGGTTCTTGACGCGACTAGACACGCATGCGGCTAAGCTTGGGAGCTATGGCCCATGACATATGCACATCACATGCAATGCACGAGGACGCGCCCCGCCCGCCATCACCAAGCATAGCTACAACCACCGACTCTACTGCATCTTGCGTCATCTCTTCCCACTGAAAGCTTTTGAAAGCTACGTGGCGCCACGAGAGCTGTCATGGCCCGCCTCAACCCATTCTCCTTCACGCCTGGGCCAGTCATCTTCTTTACTACCATCGTCTACGTGGGCCTCTTTGCTGCCCTGCTCGTTACCCACCTGACGGTACCGAATTATCCATCCAATCCACCAACCGGCGTCAACCTCACAGAAGCTTGGGGCGACCTCCAGCACATTACCCGCCGGTTCCACCCGTACAACAGCCACGCGAACGACGATGTACGCAAATATCTGCTTGCGCGCATCAAGGCCATCGTTACTTCAAAAGACCTGGAAAAGGGCCAAGTCGAGCTCTTCGATGACCTGACCGCAAACGCCACATTTTCATCTGGCAGCACATCTATCTATTTTGAAGGCACTAACATCATTGTTGCAATCCGCGGTTCTGATGATGACGAACCCTTCAATGGGACTCAGCGCAGTCCGGACAACGGCGGCGTACTTGTGAACGCCCATTACGACTCAGTGAGCAGCGGGTATGGTGCAACTGACGATGGCGTGGGTGTTGTGACGATACTGCAACTTCTATCCTACTTCACAGAATCCAAGAACTGGCCCAAAAGAACCGTGGTACTGCTGCTTAACAACGGCGAAGAGGATTATCTCAACGGCGCCAAAGCTTTCATGCGGAACCCGATTTCTCAGGTCGCCCATACGTTCGTAAACCTCGAGGGAGCTGGAGCTGGCGGCAGAGCTACCTTGTTCAGGAGCACCGATACCGAAGTCACCCGCTACTACAAAAAGTCTAAATATCCTTTCGGGACAGTCGTAAGCGGAGATGGCTTCAAAAAGGGTTATATCCGAAGCGAAACTGATTACAAAGTCTTCCACGGCGAACTTGGGCTACGCGGCCTTGACATTGCGTTCATGGAGCCCAGGGCCAGATACCACACAGTGGAAGACTCCACACGTGAAACTTCGATGAACTCGCTCTGGCACATGCTTTCAGCAGCTCTGGCCTCAACATCCGGATTGGCTTCCATCACCAGTGACGAATTCAGTGGCTCAGAAAGCCTCGATAACGGTAGAGTCAATGCCGGAACTGGCAGTGACGGCGTGTGGTTTGACCTCTTCGGCAAGGTGTTCGTCGTTTTCAACCTACATACCCTTTTCGCTTTGTGCGTCACGTTGCTGGTTGTGGCACCTCTTACGTTGATTGGACTGACGTTTGGGCTCTCCAAGGCTGACAAGAACTACCTATTGGCGCGCAAAGCCTACATCTATTCGTCTGACGATGACAATCCGGTACCCTTATACGGCTGGCGCGGCTTCTTCCGCTTCCCCATCATCTTTGTCACAGCAAGTGCTGTTGTGGTCGCATTGGCTTATCTCATAGTCCGGTTCAATCCCTTCATTGTTTACAGCAGCCCATTCGCCGTCTGGAGGTGAGTCGCTCATGCTGCTACTCTGTTCACAACTAACAATATCAACAGCATGATGCTCTCAGCCTGGATATTCATCGCTTGGTTCCTTGCGCGAGGGGCCGATGCTATGCGACCATCCGCACTCCAGCGCATGTACGCTTTGATCTGGCTTTTCATCGGCTCCTTCGTGCTTCTGACAATCATCACGGTCTTCGTGAACGACTATCAGGTTGCCGCTGGTTATTCTGCGATGTTCTACTTCGCAGCTGTGTTCGCGGCAATCCTCCTCTCCTACCTCGAACTCTTCCTCGCTCCAACCAAATCTGCGTATGCCCGTCATTTCGAGCAAGAGGACGAATCCCGGCGCAACTCAGAGTCCGCAAGCAGGCCCCTTACAGGCAGCACCACCGCTGCACGGTCCGATGATCGCCCCGTGGGAGACGATGACGCCACCGAAACCACTTCACTTTTACGCGGCGATCGACGTGGATTCGCAAGATACGGCGGCAACAGGCGAGACTCTATCAGCGAGAGCGGCGAGGATCATGCTCAAGGGCCCCGGCGAATAGATCTCGGCAACGTGTATCCTGGAGAACAAGAGTGGAGCGGCAAATTACCGAGCTGGATCTGGGTCGTTCAACTGCTACTCTTAGCGCCAATCGTGATCATCCTTGTCGGACAGGTCGCTCTACTCCTCACCTCGGCCCTATACCAGACGCCATCCGATGGTAACTCGCCTCTGTTTATTTACCTCGCCTTCGCAGCGCTTACTGTATTGTTGCTCGCACCCACCGGCCCGTTTATTCACCGCTTCACATATCACATCCCAACCTTTTTATTCCTGATATGCGTCGCAACCGTCATCTACAACCTTGTTGCGTTCCCTTTCAGCAGGGATCATCGCTTAAAGGTGTACTTCGTCCAGCGGGTTAATTGCGAGACTGGTCATAACGTCGTGTCCCTGACCGGCTTGGACGGCTATGTGCAACGCATTGTTGGCGAGTTACCCAGTGCGCAAGGCCAGCAGCTTGATTGCACGACGCCCGAGGTTGCGACGCGTAAGGAACTAAAGCAGTGCCAGTGGCAGGGTCTTGACGCTAAAGTCGTCCCAAAGACAGCGCAAGTCGCGCCATTTGACAACAACACGTACATTGCCAGCTGGCTCAATTACTCGATCCATAAGGGCAATTACTCAAACAAGGCGACGATACGCGTTGTTGGGCATAACACCCGAGCATGTCGCGTGCTTTTCGACTCGCCCATCACAGCGTTGAGCGTCGACGGCGCCGTTTCAGATCCTCGCTTCAAACCCGTCGGTGGGGACGGCGCCCGGGAAGTGCGACTGTGGCATCGCGAATTTGGACAGCCCTGGAACGTTAGCGTGACTTGGAACGCCAAAGAACAATCGAAACTTTCTGGAAGGGTCGTGTGCATGTGGTCGGACGCCAACACAGGCGACATCCCTGCTTTCGACGAGGTGCAGCACTATCTGCCTGTGTGGGCAATTCCCTCCAAGATTAGCGATGGCTTGGTCGAGGGCTTCAAGCAGTTCGAAATCTAGGGCAGCGGGCTTTAGTTGCGGGGATCCCTGCATGTCTCCGTTACTTTTGCTGCGATATCCATCACGCAAGCAGTCGAGCACGGCGTCACAGCTCACATGCAACCCCTCACTTCAATTGCTCATTTATGCGAGCTTCCCCTTTATCTCATCAATGCCCCAACTTGTTCACGATCCATTTGTTACTGTTCTTTTTGGAGTTTGGCGGTATCATGTTCACGGCCATTGCATCTTGTACACCCAACGTATAGCATCTTGACGTCAACTTAATGAACTCTATTATCACGACGCCCAAGGCCACCAACCCTCGCTTCACTCTTCGACTCGCCTAATTCCAGCCTCTCGATTCCACGTCTCACCACGAACCGTTCGACAGCTTGGCTCGTACCAGAATGCTGAGAGCGTTTGACGGAGCCCAAGACACTTCACAACGTTATCCGCTACCTACCGACGCAGGATTTACCCCTGCTTTGACCCGAAGGTTTCTTTTAGCTGCGGGAGAGACTATATCATCATCTATACAGCCATCGACTTTGTCATCGACGTTGACGACTACTCTTGGTTCGATAGCTACTCCAGCTGTCTGTACCG